GTGTGTGTGTGTGTGTGTGTGGTTCAGGGTCCCTCCCCCCCTTGAAAATGACTTAAGACTACATTGAAGATGTTTTGGGCGTTGGCGGAGCCAATGGGGGCTGACACCCCCACCCCCCACGCCCTTTCAAAATTCCCGGATCCGCACATGCCACATATCTCCGCTTCGTGAGCTCCACCTGTCATCATATTCATGTTTCATTGGAGTCAACGTGTCATACAACGCTAACAAGTTTTGGATAGCTGTACCCGTCGCACCCACTGTACTTTAAGTAAGTAACTGTACTGTGAGGTGTGACAGTGTTGAACTGACTGTAGGTGACGCCCTGTCCCCTTTCATGTAACCCCCGCCCCGGCCAATATCAAATCCTTTTGAGACGATTCCAAACTCTGCGTGGGGCATATCTATTTTGAAATAGTTCGTTTGACAGCTGCATCGAGTGTCTAGTGCCAACAAAGGACACTTATAACACATTCCCATGAACTCACTTGTAAAAGTACACAGTTGGGAGCGTGATTGATGACGCTATTCTACATGGGTATGGATCTGTTAACGAATTTCTTGGTGGGGCAAGGGGATACGCCCATCTTTTCGCGATCACTTGGTATCATCACTTTTTAGTGGCGATTGATAAACTCATGCTCACCATATAGCCGGATTCGTACAATCGATACTTGTGAATATTGAAAGGGTTTTGGGCGGTTTTAATTACAAGACGGGAAGTAGTGTTGTGGTATCCTTTAAAAAAACAAAATACTATGTATAACATTACATTTCACCAACTGACTGATTGTGTCACGTTAAGAAGGTAAAACATGTGTGAGTTAGTTTTTTACTCAATTTTGAAAAGCATTCGATATATATGACAGCGAGTGAGTTTGATGAGGGAGGAAATCCCGAAGTAACGCAGGTCTTCATACTGAAACTCACGAACACGGGTATGGTGATCTCAAATCTTAAAAACGTAATCAGGTAGAATGTGTGATTTTAAACCACGATCACATGTTCCTGGTACACTAAGGGGAGGCAACCTGCACGTGGAATCATATGCGCCACCCGTGCTCTATAAACTTGAACCAGTCATTAGATCGTTGAGCGTGGACGTTTACCATTTGGATTATATATGCACGGGAATGCCATGACAAACCAAGAATCTACATCAGGTTGGTTGGTTTGTTGTTTAACGCCGCACTCAGCAATATTCCAGCTATATGGACGCGGTCTGTAAATAATCGAGTCTAGACCTGACAATCCAGTGATCAACAGCATGAACACCGATCTACGCAACTGGGATACGTTGACATGTGTCAACCAAGTCAGCGAGCCTGCCTACCTGATCCCATTAGTCGCCTCTTACGACAAGCAGGGCTCCAGATAATTTTTCATGATCAGGAGTACGTACTCCTTATTTTTTCAATATAGGAGTACTGGAAAACAATAAGAGTACATTTAGAGTACTGAATGGAATTTAATGGCGTATCAGTAATCTTGTGTTTCGTTTCATATATGCACCACAACATTGCTACTCTTGTGTAAACAGGTCACTAAACAATAAAACAATACTTTTTCAGATAAATACGCCTGTAAATGATTCTGAAACCGTACACCATTGCTGTGGTCTGTATCTGCTACGTTTTTAAAATTGTTTCCTACCGTATCGTGCTTATTTTATATCCGTACATACGCCGATACAGCCCTTATCTGGAGCCCTGGACAAGCATAGGTTACTACATCCACTATAGTGGAGATTGATTGTAACGTATACCCTGGAGATTATCGAGGATGAGGTTACTAAAGATCAATTCTAATCCGTATCTTCACGTGCTTCCTATATCAGAGATTCGAACCCGAGACCATAGATGATGTGCTACTAGATAATGTGCTGTAGTTTATATTGTGGAATACGTCCGACGTGAGGGTAGTTCGTATATAAGTTTTGAAACGTAAATAATCAGCTGTGCCCATATCTGAAATGAACTCGCCTGCAAGTTATGTATAGCTTTTCAGTGTAATATGTACATTAGCATCAAGTAAACTGGTACAACTCCATAGCTGTAGTGCAGGGCCGTGTCGAACTTACTCACGAGCTGATGACAAACATCATCTGGAGCACAATGGCTTCATGCAAGGGTAGGCAACGGCTCAAGTACATGCTGACCCATCTGAAATCTAACGCTAAACTCAACACACCCGTTTGTGAGTAACTATATATCATATGCGTGCGGGGTGAAGTTCTAAAGGTATGAACGAAACGAACATTTTCTGCTAAAAGGACAATGTTAGGCGTCAACCACCAGTGGTATGATGCATCTGCGTCACGTCAACCAAAATACCGGGTTCGATTCTGAAGTTGAGTCAATGGTTTGTCTCCTCCAGAGTCGATTGCTGCTTTTCTCAAAATGTCACCCTTTACAAAGCTTCTACATCTCGTTTAATTCTCTCCGTCGTAGTTTGGACATACTCTCCACCCCAGACAGACCAGTTCGACAAATATCGGCGTATATCAATCCACGAAATGCGATATCAGTTACTGATCCCAAGTCGTCGGTCAATATATGCTGATCTTTTTATAAAGCGGCTTAGTGTATTAATGAATATTTTATATCACAGACACGCTGTACAAAGATTTGATTAAGCTTTATGGCTCGGGGTGTGAGGCTATGAAGGGTACGAACTACATGTATCTGTACGACTGTATCAAAGAGGATTGAATGCACATGTATATGTAATTGCAGGATGTCCATTTGGAGGGAGGTCTGATAAAGATTCTTATATACATGTATAGAACTCGTGCATAGAAAGTTGTAGGAAGAAAGTTGTTGTCATTCAGTCATAGTTTTGCCACATATGTTCATCTGTTTCTTCCCTCACATATACATTAATAGGTATATATATCAAAACAATAAAATAATAATGATAATAATAAACCAGCCTGATTTTGTCAGGACCACAGACCTCTCTCTGCTGCATTTTACATTAATCTGTAAAATATAATAATAACTGCTAATATGTACTATTAATGTAAACAAAAGTACTGGCTTTTAAAGACTTAGAGATGGCGTTGATCGCTTATAATAATATCAAGGAATGTTTTGACTTGTCGAAGCTTGACTACACTTAGCTCAGTGCTAATGCTATCGGCACAGTTCTCTCCTGTGTGGTACTAATGGGTTGTGAGCATTGTATATCTAACACATCCCTATACGTCTATTATTGTCAAATCCTTCATCGAGGCGAATCAGAGAATGTCACTTGTCACCTCGCCTTGACGATGACAGATATAGGGCGACTGAGGGGACACGTCTGTCTGAGATTTCACATAACCTCTCGACAACTTGTACATAATGGTAGTATTGATGGTTTAACAGTCAACCGTCAAAGCTTAAATCCGTATACACCTCTCGACAACTTATAAATAGTGGTAGTATTGATGGTTTAACAGTCGACCGTTAAAGCTTAAATCCGTATACACCTCTCTACAACTTATACATAGTGGTAGTATTGATGGTTTAATAGTCGACCGTTAAAGCTTAAATCCATATACACCTCTCGACAACTCATACATAGGGGTAGTATTGATGGTTTAACAGTCGACCGTTAAAGCTTAAATCCGTATACACCTCTCGACAACTAATACATAGTGGTAGTACTGGTGGTTTAATAGTCAGCCCGTTAAAGCTTAAATCCGTAGACACCTCTCGACAACTAATACATAGTGGTAGTACTGGTGGTTTAATAGTCAGCCCGTTAAAGCTTAAATCCATATACACCTCTCGACAACTCATACATAGGGGTAGTATTGCTGGTTTAATAGTCGACAGTCAAAGCTTAATCCGTATACACCTCTCGACAACTAATACATGCATATAGTGGTAGTACTGGTGGTTTAATAGTCAGCCCGTTAAAGCTTAAATCTGTATACACCTCTCTACAACTAATACATAGTGGTAGTATTGATGGTTTAACAGTCGACCGTTAAAGCTTAAATCCGTATACATCTCTCTACAACTTATACATAGTGGTAGTACTGGTGGTTTAACGGTCGACAGTCAATGCTTAATCCGTATACACCTCTCGACAACTAATACATAGTGGTAGTATTAATGGTTTAATAGTCAGCCCGTTAAAGCTTAAATCTGTATACACCTCTCGACAACAATAATACATAGTGGTAGTATTGATGGATTAACAGCCGGCCCGTTAAAGCATAACACTCTTTAATCCGTCTACACCTCTCGACAACTAATACATAGTGGGGGTATTGATGGATTAACAGCGGCCCGTTAAAGCATAACACTCTTTAATCCGTCTACACCTCTCGACAACTGATACATAGTGGTAGTATTGATGGATTAACAGCCGGCCCGTTAAAACATAACACTCTTAAATCCGTCTACACCTCTCGACAACTAATACATAGTGGTAGTATTGATGGATTAACAGCCGGCCCGTTAAAGCATAACACTCTTTAATCCGTCTACACCTCTCAACAACTAATACATAGTGGTAGTATTGATGAATTAACAGCCGGCCCGTTAAAGCATAACGCTCTTTAATCCGTAGTATACCCGTTATATTGTAAACTCGTAGATGTTTGATGCGAACTCTTTAATCTGTGTGACTTTCTTGTACGGATTACATAAGTGTTATTATAAGCGCCCATAGCCAGAAAAGTCACACACCGTGACGTATGTGACTAAAGAATTCAGAATTATCATCTTACCGGTGAAGGGGGTGGGGCCGGGTTGGCTACAACAACTGCACCGTTTACCACATCCTCGATAATCTCCAGGGTATACGTTCCGATAAATCTCCATTATATACTAGTGGAGATATCTCCATTATATACTAGTGGAGATTTATCGGAACGTATACCCAGGAGATCATCGAGGATGCATTTACCACGGTGCTGTAATTATGTAGATAACACACCGACAGTAAACACGGGTGAAGTTACCATTTAACATTACAGATTAGATACAACTAACATTATTGCTTACCTCGATCACAGAAACAGCAGGGTATGTTCTCCCATCAGATATAAGTAATCCTATATTCGAAAAGTTCTGTGGGGGACGGTCGGGGTTACCCCCAAGTATCCTCACGCCTCACCCCTCGGGTCTTAACCTCACACGGATACTTCGAATTCCCACTGACCACGGCTATCACTGAAAACGACGGTAAATATCCAACCCAACTGGTTTCACAGCCCGACGCGCTCCCCAGCTAGACTGGTTTCAATGACAGAGCGTCAACTAATATGCGCTAAGCAAGCACACCGCGTTCGATAACATACATAAATAAGCTTTCAAAAATCCCGTCTTATAATTCGCAGTGAAAACTCAACGGGGCGTGACACAAAATTGTTTGCTTATCCGCGTTCGTGCGATTTGCTCAGCGCTCCGGGATGCTTGAACACGTTGGAACGCCTCTGATTCAACTTGTTAAGTTTGATAGCTTTCTTGGCTGATTAGATTTCGATCTGACGCGGTACAGGAAACGGGTTCGATTTATTGATTGTCAAATCGATTCCTTGGGCTGTTATATGTGCATGTGAAATTACCCGTCAGCCATTAAGTGTTTGACCAGTAAATACAATTTAATGAGTGGAAACGATCTTTCGTGGTTACTGTTTATTAAAAAGAGGTACTCATTCAGTAAGATTCTGCAGTCATTTGCTCGACATGTGGAGTTTTTAACGCTGCGGTGAATTATTAGAGCGAAATATATTGCGTAATAACTACAAAACAGGTTTGAGGTGGGCTTTGTCGGTATATATATACAGGGCCAGTTAACGACGTTGCTCAGTCGTGAAAGGTACAGTACACTGGCTACCCACAGAACATCACCGGTCCTGTCATTTATAGTCACGATCTGAAGGATGGGGATGGTATCAAAACACTTTATATCCTTTTCGGCGACTTATTTCTCTTGGTTTTTTTCCTTGAGGATTCTGCCGCAGAAACGTTTGTGACTCATCTCAAACACGAAAGTAACTGTCAACAATAGGTGTTCATTTGTTTATTTGTAGCTACATGGAGCACTCACTAATATTCCAGCTACAACTGCTTGTAGAATATCGAGCCTGAGGCAGGCAATACAGTGATTGATAATATAAGCAACAAACAATATTGTAACCGTCGGGTCACAATGACATAAAAGTTATGCTAGTCTGACAATCAGATCCATTTATAAACACGTCTGTTTCTATAGGTTACCATTCAGGGTTGGTTGGTTTGTTGTTTAAAGCCGCACTCAGCAATATTCCAGCTATACGGCGGCGGTCTGTAAACAATCGAGCCTGAACCAGAAAATCCAGTGATCAACAGCATGAGCATCGACCTACGTAAGTGGGATACCATGGCATATGTCAACCAAGTCAGCGAGCCTGACCTCCCGATCCCGTTAGTCGTCTCTTACCAAGTGAAGACTGCTGAAGATCAATTCTAAGCCGGGAGACAAACATGGGTTACTGAAGAGCAATTCTAACCCACCATTCACAGAGGGACAGGACCATAAACACAGTCACAATGATTTCTGGCACAGGTTATGATGGCAGGGGGTGATATAACTAGTCATCTGGGTATTCTTCATCACAGTTTATGTCAACCAGCGGATTCAACTGTCCGACTAGTGTAGTGGCCTCCATAATTTGCTGTCCTCTTGACCCTTCTGGACTCTGGACTTATTTACACAATAAAAACAAGCGATTGTAAATACGATTTTTGTCAAAGAAGGATATCTTCGTTTCCTGAAGATTATTCAATTCATGTTTGCTTTAGAAAGTGTTAATGCAGCTCAGACTGATGAAACATCCGGGATGTCCAGTTTTAATTTGACTGGGTCATAGCAGAGCCCCCATATGTTGCTGTGCGCCACTAATGTGGTACCGTAATTAAAATCAAGTTGTCTCAGGTCAGAAAATCCCCACATTAAAGTAACCAAATTGGGGATCGGACGTGGGGGATGGGGTGGGTGGTGAGGGTGGGTGGTTGATAAAAACACGTAATTACATGTTGTGACTTATCTTTTTAAGTCAGTCTAAGTAAACTTAGGCTCAGTATTATTCGTTACACTGCTATACTGAGTCTAACAAACCCAGCAGAAGAAGTGTAACGAATAATTCAGAGCCTAAGTTTACTTTGACTGCTTTTTAAGTATCAATACGTGTACGTAACAGCTATAGAATCCCCTGGCACCACAAAACACAGTTACAACATAACCAGCTATTGGCGGGAGGACTAAATAATTAGTTTGAGCTTGATAACGAATCATTGCTTGGTTAGCCACACACAGCCTCTGGGCGGACAGTAGTGGTATGAACTAGGAGGGACTCATTAGCCAACAGAGGAGGCCACTGGATGATTCGGGTATCATACGGACAAATTCCGAAACAGAACAACTTGCTCAAAATGCCCAATTTATAAGAGTAAGAGCGGATCCCATGTTGAGAAGTCATATTTCAAAGAAACATATGATATAAACACACAGTTGATCTTCATACAAATGATTTTATTGATGGCTGAATCTAGAAATGAAAAGAATCAGCTTAAGGATGAGGGCTCTTGGAGTCGGCAGAAGACGCAGTCCTCCATTGTTCTGGGCAACTCCCTTCAACCGAATTTTGACGAGATGAGTCAACATACAACATTGGACCGCCTCCGTGGTGTAGTGGTTAGAGCGTCCGCCCGGAGAGCGGAAGGTCGCGGGTTCGATCCCCGACCGCGTCATACCAAAAATCGTTAAAATATGGTACTTGTTGGTCCCTGCCTGACGCTCGGCATTAATGGGTACAACAAGGACTGGTCGGCTCGGAGTCAGTTTAATGTGTCTGAGTGGGGTATTCATGCTCCACTGCGGCATGGTATCTCAGTGGGCAAGCACTTTAAAACCAGCTTCAGTATGGGCTAGTACAAGCAGCAGCACATACACATACACACGCATGCACGTCGTCATATGAGCAAAATATTCTCCAGCACGACGTTAAACCCAATTTCACCTCACCTCACCTTCTACAACATTGTTAACCAAGGGAAACTTGGTTATGAGATGGTTAACTCGGGTTCACCTGGGTCGTCCATGGATTTTTTTAATCGAAGCCATGCACACATTTTCTGTACACGAGAGCTTCTGTCGTGTAGTTGATAGACTGTTTGCAGGTGGTTCTATCCAGCTCGAAATACTTAAGGACTTTGAAACATAGTACTTGATTTTACCCTGTCTGGCAATATCTGGATAAAACAAGGACAGGTGGTTGAACCGTGGTTCCGAGTTGGTATATTGTCTGAGTGGTGCATTCACGACTCATGTGGACTTGGACATGGGCTGTCATGAAACCAGCATTAGTCCTCTTACCCCACCTCAGGTTACCTCCAGTATAAACACACACAGCAGTGTGGCACACCCTAATATCAATGACCTTAACAGCATCTAGAAAGTATTGTAACATTCTGAAATATTCAGATGTATTTCCCCTGTTTTCTTATACCTGAAAACTCAACATTTGTTAATAAGAAAGCAACACAACAAAATCTGTATAAGTAAACACACTCTTTATAATATATACAAATGATTAACAGAACAAGTGTACATTTTTAATGTTGATAATACCGAGGCCATATGCCTGGCACAATCTTAGAACTCAGGACACAAGGCTAAGATTGATCATCATGCAAATGTAAGTATTTACAATAAACAATAAATGTGGACGGAATGTGAACCATCATTTGTAAAACTTCATACTGTCTTTGAATTATACCTAAAATTGATGGCCTGCATCTGGATTTTCCTTCATTTCTTCTCTTCAAACGGGATTTATGGCTGATCACAACATTCTCCCTCAGGCAGCATTTGGCATGTTCAGTGTTTGAACCATGTAGTTGTACGGGGGTCACATCATGGACGTCCTGAACGAGCTTGCTCTATTTTCCTGCGCACTTGGTTACAGTTAAGGGTTAATTCTGCATGCAGCATTCTAAGACTCTCTAACTTGTCTTTGAGATCGTCACTTTCATCTTTGCGTTCCTCAAAGTCTCTCAATAAAGGCTCATTACCAAGGAGACCACAGTTTTGACGTAACCGCTGGTTGTCTATACGTAGTGAGTCTCTTGCTTGTTTTGTTCTAGATAGAATATCCCGTCTCTGGAAAAGAAACACATCTTTTTGTAGAGAAGAAAGGGTTTATTGTGATTTATTGGTTCAATAAATTCTTCAATGTTATCAATCAACCAGCTAAATCCTCCTAAAAGCATGCTCCAAATTCAGTATATAGTTTTCACCTTATCTACATAAACCTCCTCATCTGTCAGATTGCCTTTCTGTACATGGTTCTCACCTGAGCTACATAATCTCCTACATCCTTCAAGTTGCCCTTCTGTACATGGTTCTCACCTGAGCTACATATGCCTCCTCATCCTTCAGGTTGCCCTTCTGTACATGGTTCTCACCTGAGCTACATATGCCTCGACATCCTTCAAGTTGCCCTTCTGTACATGGTTCTCACCTGAGCTACATATGCCTCGACATCCTTCAAGTTGCCCTTCTGTACATGGTTCTCACCTGAGCTACATATGCCTCGACATCCTTCAAGTTGCCTTTCTGTACATGGTTCTCACCTGAGCTACATAATCTCCTACATCCTTCAGATTGCCTTTCTGTACATGGTTCTCCCCTAAGCTACATAATCTCCTACATCCTTCAGATTGCCCTTCTGTACATGGTTCTCACCTGAGCTACATAATCTCCTACATCCTTCAGATTGCCTTTCTGTACATGGTTCTCAACTGAGCTACATAAGCCTCGACATCCTTCAGATTGCCCTTCTGTACATGGTTCTCACCTGAGCTACATAAGCCTCGACATCCTTCAGATTGCCTCTCTGTACATGGTTCTCACCTGAGCTACATAATCTCCTACATCCTTCAAGTTGCCCTTCTGTACATGGTTCTCACCTGAGCTACATAATCTCCTACATCCTTCAAGTTGCCCTTCTGTACATGGTTCTCACCTGAGCTACATATGCCTCCTCATCCTTCAGGTTGCCCTTCTGTACATGGTTCTCACCTGAGCTACATATGCCTCGACATCCTTCAAGTTGCCCTTCTGTACATGGTTCTCACCTGAGCTACATATGCCTCGACATCCTTCAAGTTGCCTTTCTGTACATGGTTCTCACCTGAGCTACATAATCTCCTACATCCTTCAGATTGCCCTTCTGTACATGGTTCTCACCTGAGCTACATAATCTCCTACATCCTTCAGATTGCCCTTCTGTACATGGTTCTCACCTGAGCTACATAATCTCCTATATCCTTCAGATTGCCTTTCTGTACATGGTTCTCACCTGAGCTACATATGCCTCTACATCCTTCAAGTTGCCTTTCTGTACATGGTTCTCACCTGAGCTACATAATCTCCTACATCCTTCAGATTGCCCTTCTGTACATGGTTCTCCCCTAAGCTACATAAGCTACATCCTTCAGATTGCCCTTCTGTACATGGTTCTCACCTGAGCTACATAATCTCCTATATCCTTCAGATTGCCTTTCTGTACATGGTTCTCAACTGAGCTACATAAGCCTCGACATCCTTCAGATTGCCCTTCTGTACATGGTTCTCACCTGAGCTACATAAGCCTCGACATCCTTCAGATTGCCTTTCTGTACATGGTTCTCACCTGAGCTACATAATCTCCTACATCCTTCAAGTTGCCCTTCTGTACATGGTTCTCACCTGAGCTACATAATCTCCTACATCCTTCAAGTTGCCTTTCTGTACATGGTTCTCACCTGAGCTACATAATCTCCTACATCCTTCAAGTTGCCCTTCTGTACATGGTTCTCACCTGAGCTACATAATCTCCTACATCCTTCAAGTTGTCCTTCTGTACATGGTTCTCACCTGAGCTACATAATCTCCTACATCCTTCAAGTTGCCTTTCTGTACATGGTTCTCACCTGAGCTACATAAGCCTCGACATCCTTCAGATTGCCCTTCTGTACATGGTTCTCACCTGAGCTACATAAGCCTCGACATCCTTCAGATTGCCTTTCTGTACATGGTTCTCACCTGAGTTACATAATCTCCTACATCCTTCAAGTTGCCCTTCTGTACATGGTTCTCACCTGAGCTACATAATCTCCTACATCCTTCAAGTTGCCCTTCTGTACATGGTTCTCACCTGAGCTACATAATCTCCTACATCCTTCAGATTGCCTTTCTGTACATGGTTCTCACCTGAGCTACATATGCCTCGACATCCTTCAAGTTGCCCTTCTGTACATGGTTCTCACCTGAGCTACATCATCTCTTACATCCTTCAGGTTGCCCTTCTGTACATGGTTTTCACCTGAGCTACATAATCTCCTACATCCTTCAGATTGCCTTTCTGTACATGGTTCTCACCTGAGCTACATAATCTCCTACATCCTTCAGGTTGCCCTTCTGTACATGGTTCTCACCTGAGCTACATAAGCCTCGACATCCTTCAAGTTGCCCTTCTGTACATGGTTCTCACCTGAGCTACATAAGCCTCTACATCCTTCAGGTTGCCTTTCTGTACATGGTTCTCACCTGAGCTACATAAGCCTCGACATCCTTCAAGTTGCCCTTCTGTACATGGTTCTCACCTGAGCTACATAAGCCTCGACATCCTTCAGGTTGCCCTTCTGTACATGGTTCTCACCTGAGCTACATAAGCCTCGACATCCTTCAAGTTGCCCTTCTGTACATGGTTCTCACCTGAGCTACATAAGCCTCTACATCCTTCAGGTTGCCTTTCTGTACATGGTTCTCACCTGAGCTACATAAGCCTCGACATCCTTCAAGTTGCCCTTCTGTACATGGTTCTCACCTGAGCTACATAAGCCTCGACATCCTTCAAGTTGCCCTTCTGTACATGGTTCTCACCTGAGCTACATAAGCCTCTACATCCTTCAGGTTGCCCTTCTGTACATGGTTCTCACCTGAGCTACATAAGCCTCGACATCCTTCAAGTTGCCCTTCTGTACATGGTTCTCACCTGAGCTACATAAGCCTCTACATCCTTCAGGTTGCCCTTCTGTACATGGTTCTCACCTGAGCTACATAAGCCTCGACATCCTTCAAGTTGCCCTTCTGTACATGGTTCTCACCTGAGCTACATAAGCCTCGACATCCTTCAAGTTGCCTTTCTGTACATGGTTCTCACCTGAGCTACATAAGCCTCGACATCCTTTAAGTTGCCTTTCTGTACATGGTTCTCACCTGAGCTACATAATCTCCTACATCCTTCAAGTTGCCCTTCTGTACATGGTTCTCACCTGAGCTACATAATCTCCTACATCCTTCAGATTGCCTTTCTGTACATGGTTCTCACCTGAGCTACATAATCTCCTACATCCTTCAGATTGCCCTTCTGTACATGGTTCTCACCTGAGCTACATAAGCCTCTACATCCTTTAAGTTGCCTTTCTGTACATGGTTCTCACCTGAGCTACATAAGCCTCGACATCCTTCCAGTTGCCCTTCTGTACATGGTTCTCACCTGAGCTACATAATCTCCTACATCCTTCAGATTGCCTTTCTGTACATGGTTCTCACCTGAGCTACATAATCTCCTACATCCTTCAAGTTGCCCTTCTGTACATGGTTCTCACCTGAGCTACATAATCTCCTACATCCTTCAAGTTGCCTTTCTGTACATGGTTCTCACCTGAGCTACATAAGCCTCGACATCCTTCAGATTGCCTTTCTGTACATGGTTCTCACCTGAGCTACATAATCTCCTACATCCTTCAAGTTGCCCTTCTGTACATGGTTCTCACCTGAGCTACATAATCTCCTACATCCTTCAAGTTGCCTTTCTGTACATGGTTCTCACCTGAGCTACATAAGCCTCGACATCCTTCAGATTGCCCTTCTGTACATGGTTCTCACCTGAGCTACATAAGCCTCGACATCCTTCAGATTGCCTTTCTGTACATGGTTCTCACCTGAGCTACATAATCTCCTACATCCTTCAAGTTGCCCTTCTGTACATGGTTCTCACCTGAGCTACATCATCTCTTACATCCTTCAGGTTGCCCTTCTGTACATGGTTCTCACCTGAGCTACATAATCTCCTACATCCTTCAGATTGCCTTTCTGTACATGGTTCTCACCTGAGCTACATAATCTCCTACATCCTTCAGGCTGCCCTTCTGTACATGGTTCTCACCTGAGCTACATAAGCCTCGACATCCTTCAAGTTGCCCTTCTGTACATGGTTCTCACCTGAGCTACATAAGCCTCTACATCCTTCAAGTTGCCTTTCTGTACATGGTTCTCACCTGAGCTACATAATCTCCTACATCCTTCAGGCTGCCCTTCTGTACATGGTTCTCACCTGAGCTACATAAGCCTCGACATCCTTCAAGTTGCCCTTCTGTACATGGTTCTCACCTGAGCTACATATGCCTCGACATCCTTCAGGCTGCCCTTCTGTACATGGTTCTCACCTGAGCTACATAATCTCCTACATCCTTCAGATTGCCTTTCTGTACATGGTTCTCACCTGAGCTACATAAGCCTCGGGACATCCTTCAGGCTGTTCTTCTGTACATGGTTCTCACCTGAGCTACATAAGCCTCGACATCCTTCAGATTGCCTTTCTGTACATGGTTCTCACCTGAGTTACATAATCTCCTACATCCTTCAAGCTGCTCCTCTTCTGTACATGGTTCTCACCTGAGCTACATAATCTCCTACATCCTTCAAGTTGCCCTTCTGTACATGGTTCTCACCTGAGCTACATAATCTCCTACATCCTTCCTTCAGATTGCCTTTCTGTACATGGTTCTCACCTGAGCTACATATGCCTCGACATCCTTCAAGTTGCCCTTCTGTACATGGTTCTCACCTGAGCTACATCATCTCTTACATCCTTCAGGTTGTCCTTCTTCTGTACATGGTTTTCACCTGAGCTACATAATCTCCTACATCCTTCAGATTGCCTTTCTGTACATGGTTCTCACCTGAGCTACATAATCTCCTACATCCTTCAGGTTGCCCTTCTGTACATGGTTCTCACCTGAGCTACATAAGCCTCGACATCCTTCAAGTTGCCCTTCTGTACATGGTTCTCACCTGAGCTACATAAGCCTCTACATCCTTCAGGTTGCCTTTCTGTACATGGTTCTCACCTGAGCTACATAAGCCTCGACATCCTTTCAAGTTGCCCTTCTGTACATGGTTCTCACCTGAGCTACATAAGCCTCGACATCCTTCAGGTTGCCCTTCTGTACATGGTTCTCACCTGAGCTACATAAGCCTCGACATCCTTCAAGTTGCCCTTCTGTACATGGTTCTCACCTGAGCTACATAAGCCTCTACATCCTTCAGGTTGCCTTTCTGTACATGGTTCTCACCTGAGCTACATAAGCCTCGACATCCTTCAAGTTGCCCTTCTGTACATGGTTCTCACCTGAGCTACATAAGCCTCGACATCCTTCAAGTTGCCCTTCTGTACATGGTTCTCACCTGAGCTACATAAGCCTCGACATCCTTCAGGTTGCCCTTCTGTACATGGTTCTCACCTGAGCTACATAAGCCTCGACATCCTTCTGCTGTTCTTCTGTACATGGTTCTCACCTGAGCTACATAAGCCTCTACATCCTTCAGATGCCTCTTCTGTACATGGTTCTCACCTGAGCTACATAAGCCTCGACATCCTTCAAGTTGCCCTTCTGTACATGGTTCTCACCTGAGCTACATAAGCCTCGACATCCTTCAAGTTGCCTTTCTGTACATGGTTCTCACCTGAGCTACATAAGCCTCGACATCCTTTAAGTTGCCTCTTCTGTACATGGTTCTCACCTGAGCTACATAATCTCCTACATCCTTCAAGTTGCCCTTCTGTACATGGTTCTCACCTGAGCTACATAATCTCCTACATCCTTCAGATTGCCTTTCTGTACATGGTTCTCACCTGAGCTACATAATCTCCTACATCCTTCAGATTGCCCTTCTGTACATGGTTCTCACCTGAGCTACATAAGCCTCTACATCCTTTAAGTTGCCTTTCTGTACATGGTTCTCACCTGAGCTACATAAGCCTCGACATCCTTCCAGTTGCCCTTCTGTACATGGTTCTCACCTGAGCTACATAATCTCCTACATCCTTCAGATTGCCTTTCTGTACATGGTTCTCACCTGAGCTACATAATCTCCCTACATCCTTCAAGTTGCCCTTCTGTACATGGTTCTCACCTGAGCTACATAATCTCCTACATCCTTCAAGTTGTCTTTTCTGTACATGGTTCTCACCTGAGCTACATAAGCCTCGACATCCTTCAGATTGCCTTTCTGTACATGGTTCTCACCTGAGCTACATAATCTCCTACATCCTTCAAGTTGCCTCTTCTGTACATGGTTCTCACCTGAGCTACATAAGCCCTCGACATCCTTCAGATTGCCCTTCTGTACATGGTTCTCACCTGAGCTACATAAGCCTACATCCTTCAGATTGCCTTTCTGTACATGGTTCTCACCTGAGCTACATAATCTCCTACATCCTTCAAGCTGTCTCTCTTCTGTACATGGTTCTCACCTGAGCTACATCATCTCTTACATCCTTCAGGTTGCCCTTCTGTACATGGTTCTCACCTGAGCTACATAATCTCCTACATCCTTCAGATTGCCTTTCTGTACATGGTTCTCACCTGAGCTACATAATCTCCTACATCCTTCAGGCTGTCCTTCTGTACATGGTTCTCACCTGAGCTACATAAGCCTCGACATCCTTCAAGTTGCCCTTCTGTACATGGTTCTCACCTGAGCTACATAAGCCTCTACATCCTTCAAGTTGCCTTTCTGTACATGGTTCTCACCTGAGCTACATAATCTCCTACATCCTTCAGGCTGCCCTTCTGTACATGGTTCTCACCTGAGCTACATAAGCCTCGACATCCTTCAGTTGCCCTTCTGTACATGGTTCTCACCTGAGCTACATATGCCTCCGACATCCTTCAGGCTGCCCTTCTGTACATGGTTCTCACCTGAGCTACATAATCTCCTACATCCTTCAGATTGCCTTTCTGTACATGGTTCTCACCTGAGCTACATAAGCCCCGACATCCTTCAGGTTGCCCTTCTGTACATGGTTCTCACCTGAGCTACATAAGCCTCGACATCCTTCCAGTTGCCCTTCTGTACATGGTTCTCACCTGAGCTACATAAGCCTCGACATCCTTCAAGTTGCCCCTTTCTGTACATGGTTCTCACCTGAGCTACATAAGCCTCAACATCCTTCAAGTTGCCCTTCTGTACATGGTTCTCACCTGAGCTACATAAGCCTCGACATCCTTCAAGTTGCCCTTCTGTACATGGTTCTCACCTGAGCTACATAAGCCTTGACATCCTTCAAGTTGCCCTTCTGTACATGGTTCTCACCTGAGCTACATAATCTCCTACATCCTTCAGATTGTTGCCCTTCTGTACATGGTTCTCACCTGAGCTACATAATCTCCTACATCCTTCAGATTTGCCCTTCTGTACATGGTTCTCACCTGAGCTACATAACTCTAATCCTTCCTACATCCTTCAGATTGCTCTTTCTGTACATGGTTCTCACCTGAGCTACATAAGCCTCGACATCCTTCAGGTTGCCCTTCTGTACATGGTTCTCACCTGAGCTACATAAGCTCCTACATCCTTCAAGTTGCCCTTCTGTACATGGTTCTCACCTGAGCTACATAAGCCTCGACATCCTTCAAGTTGCCCTTTCTGTACATGGTTCTCACCTGAGCTACATAAGCTTCAACATCCTTCAAGTTGCCCTTCTGTACATGGTTCTCACCTGAGCTACATAAGCCTCGACATCCTTCAAGTTGCCCTTCTGTACATGGTTCTCACCTGAGCTACATAAGCCTCGACATCCTTCAAGTTGCCCTTCTGTACATGGTTCTCACCTGAGCTACATAATCTCCTACATCCTTCAGATTGCCTTTCTGTACATGGTTCTCACCTGAGCTACATAATCTCCTACATCCTTCAGATTGCCTTTCTGTACATGGTTCTCACCTGAGCTACATAAGCCTCGACATCCTTCAGGTTGCCCTTCTGTACATGGTTCTCACCTGAGCTACATAAGCCTCGACATCCTTCAAGTTGCCCTTCTGTACATGGTTCTCACCTGAGCTACATAAGCCTCGACATCCTTCAGCTGTTGCCCTTTCTGTACATGGTTCTCACCTGAGCTACATAAGCTTCAACATCCTTCAAGCTGCCCTTCTGTACATGGTTCTCACCTGAGCTACATAAGCCTCGACATCCTTCAAGTTGCCCTTCTGTACATGGTTCTCACCTGAGCTACATAAGCCTCTACATCCTTCAAGTTGCCTTTCTGTACATGGTTCTCACCTGAGCTACATAATCTCCTACATCCTTCAGGCTGCCCTTCTGTACATGGTTCTCACCTGAGCTACATAAGCCTCGACATCCTTCAAGTTGCCCTTCTGTACATGGTTCTCACCTGAGCTACATATGCCTCGACATCCTTCAGGCTGCCCTTCTGTACATGGTTCTCACCTGAGCTACATAATCTCCTACATCCTTCAGATTGCCTTTCTGTACATGGTTCTCACCTGAGCTACATAAGCCTCGACATCCTTCAGGTTGCCCTTCTGTACATGGTTCTCACCTGAGCTACATAAGCCTCGACATCCTTCCAGTTGCCCTTCTGTACATGGTTCTCACCTGAGCTACATAAGCCTCGAAATCCTTCAAGTTGCCCTTTCTGTACATGGTTCTCACCTGAGCTACATAAGCTTCAACATCCTTCAAGTTGCCCTTCTGTACATGGTTCTCACCTGAGCTACATAAGCCTCGACATTCTTCAAGTTGCCCTTCTGTACATGGTTCTCACCTGAGCTACATAAGCCTTGACATCCTTCAAGTTGCCTTTCTGTACATGGTTCTCACCTGAGCTACATAATCTCCTACATCCTTCAGATTGCCCTTCTGTACATGGTTCTCACCTGAGCTACATAATCTCCTACATCCTTCAGATTGCCCTTCTGTACATGGTTCTCACCTGAGCTACATAATCTCCTACATCCTTCAGATTGCCTTTCTGTACATGGTTCTCACCTGAGCTACATAAGCCTCGACATCCTTCAGGTTGCCCTTCTGTACATGGTTCTCACCTGAGCTACATAAGCCTCTACATCCTTCAAGTTGCCCTTCTGTACATGGTTCTCACCTGAGCTACATAAGCCTCGACATCCTTCAAGTTGCCCTTTCTGTACATGGTTCTCACCTGAGCTACATAAGCTTCAACATCCTTCAAGTTGCCCTTCTGTACATGGTTCTCACCTGAGCTACATAAGCCTCGACATCCTTCAAGTTGCCCTTCTGTACATGGTTCTCACCTGAGCTACATAAGCCTTGACATCCTTCAAGTTGCCCTTCTGTACATGGTTCTCACCTGAGCTACATAAGCCTCCTACATCCTTCAGATTGCCTTCTGTACATGGTTCTCACCTGAGCTACATAATCTCCTACATCCTTCAGATTGCCTTTCTGTACATGGTTCTCACCTGAGCTACATAAGCCTCGACATCCTTCAGGTTGCCCTTCTGTACATGGTTCTCACCTGAGCTACATAAGCCTCGACATCCTTCAAGTTGCCCTTCTGTACATGGTTCTCACCTGAGCTACATAAGCCTCGACATCCTTCAAGTTGCCCTTTCTGTACATGGTTCTCACCTGAGCTACATAAGCTTCAACATCCTTCAAGTTGCCCTTCTGTACATGGTTCTCACCTGAGCTACATAAGCCTCGACATCCTTCAAGTTGCCCTTCTGTACATGGTTCTCACCTGAGCTACATAAGCCTCGACATCCTTCAAGTTGCCCTTCTGTACATGGTTTTCAGCAAACACAAACTGCAGCTTCTCCTTCAGGTGGGTTAGGACCTGTACTGTGCTAGTGATCTTCTTCCTCAACTTCAGCAACTCCTGCAGAGACAATGTGATGAGGTTTAGGATGACATTCTGTCAGACAAGCATGTAACATATCTGCAACAGAATCTTGATATGGTGTTGTGTGAAGGGTTCTGTTGTTTAATGCACCGGTAAACATCAGTTATTACCTCATTTCTCTCTTCAATCTTCTCATTGTAAGTCTGGTTCTCAATCTTCAGCTGCTCAAAGTCAATCAAGTGAAGACCTTCAGCAAGCTCCTCCTATAGACACAGCAAACACCACATTACTATACCAGAAAACATCAACTATCACACAAAACATCACATCAACTATCACACAAAACATAAGAACAATTATCACACAAAACATCACATCAACTATCACACAAAACATCATTATTATTTCTAAGTACCAATCATCACTCAATAACCAATCTCTGAGTATTTTATAACAACTGATAATAACATGGGTACATGGGTAACTGATCTTTCTTTACAACAGTGTCACTTTGGATTACTCACCTTGGATTTCAGCTGCTGCTCCTTCTTCTTCAGTTTATTTTTCAGCTTGATGTTCTCCAGTCGGACTGTCACAACCTCTCCCTCCTTTCTGTTGGCATTGGACAGATACTGCTCGATGTCCTGGAATATCCAGTAGAAAGTTGTGCAATAGTAAACTACTGAGACAAAATGTGGCAGCCAGGAGCCATACACTGCAAGACAACCCATGGTGAGAGTTGAGTGACTCAATGGACTAACATAGTTACTGGTTGTGGACATGTTTCCAGAAACATTAGCTTCACTTAGAAGGTGAGGTGAGGTGAAATTGGGTTTAACGTCGTGCTGGAGAATATTTCGCTCATATGACGACGTGCATGCGTGTGTATGTGTATGTGCGGCTGCTTGTACTAGCCCAGACTTAAGCTGGTTTATAGTGCTAGCTCACTGCGATACCATGCCGCAGTGAAGCATGAATACCCCACTCAGACACATTAAACTGACTGCGAGCCGACCAGTCCTTGTTGTACCCATTAATGCTGAGCGCCAGGCAGGGACCAACAAGTACCATATTTTACTGCTTTTGGTATGACGCGGCCGGGGATCGAACCCACGACTTTCCGCTCTCCGGGCGGACGCTCTAACCACTACACCACGGAGGCGGTCGCTTCACTTTGAAAGGTCACATAATATGTCATCAGTGTAGCTACCATAACAGGAGAGAAGATGAAGAAGAAGTGATCCACTGATATGCCAAATAAGCAGGATAATAAAGACTCTATAAGTGTAACACCATTAATTGTTTCTTCTACTACTGACCTTTGGTGGGATAGGTTTTCCAGAGCGACTGTTGATGGCATTAAGGGCCACCTGCTTGCGGAAGTCCATAAACTTGCTCCTCTCTTCATCGACCTTGGCCTTCTTCTCCTCACACCTGTCCTTGAACTCCTCAATCTGTAACTGGGAGTTTTCCCGCTCGTGTTGCTCCTGCCTACGCAGTTCTTCCAGCTGAGCTAAAATGACATTGTCCAGTGAACTAAAGCAGACCCAATAATTCCCAGTCTATCCCGTATGTGTCATAGGATCATGTAAACCATGTCACGAGGGGATATGAGGGGGTGGAGGACGATCACAGGTTGTTTTCATAGGTTCAACAAATCTGTTGATTACTAATACATATTCGTGTATTAAATATTGCACTTAAACAATTATTGAGGATTGTATTGCAGTACTTCCTATGGGCTATGCCAAGTCCCTTCCTTTAAGATGTGCATCTTATTGAAGCGAGGCATAAAACATGATTTCAACAGAATAGGTCTCACAGCTTGTAACTGTCGTTTTCAGATACTCTGTTAACCCTAACAAGCTCGCATGAATAGAAAGCACACGGAAGTGGTCACTTTCCAGATCTGATAAGCAACGCTCTGTTTGGTCAGATGGAAGTTCATTCTGGTGTGATCTGTAATAGGATGTCCTGAGATCTTTGTTTTGCAGTAGGTTCTCATTTTAATGAGATGGGACAAAAACACACTAAAACAAACAGGCCCTTCCAAAAACAATGTAGTCATTACCAAAGTGCTAATTCTTTATTGCTTTATATCGTTCCTTGTAGTCAGGTTAAACACCAAGCCTACCTACCCATATATTTAAGGTATCTTTGTTCCTGGTCGGTGACATTTTTGTCGTAGTCTTGTCTCTCATCTGCCTTCTTCTTCCTGAAGTATTCGGCCAGCTTGTGCTGCAGCTGGTAGTTCAGCCCCTGCAGCTGTTCCCGGTCCTGCAGTGCAGCCTACAACACACATTTCACTGTGTAGTCAGTCTCACAGCCCCTTAACCGTACTCAACCGAGTGGGCAAGTGATGTAGCTTTACACTGGTTTTACCAATATTCAAGCAATATCACGGCAGGGGGCACCAGAAATGGGCTTCATACATTGTACCCATGTCTGGAATAGAACCAGGGTGTTTGGCATGACAAGTAAATGCTTTAACCACTAAACTACTCCGCCACCCTGCCATACTGAAGATATTGAAGGTATTTGATACTAGGTCTGTTATGATTCACTCTCATGTTCAGTGAATCAAACCATATCCCTTCTTGAATCCAGTTTGTTATTTGTGATAACGAGAATCAACATTCATAAAAAACTAAAAGGAGCATTTTTACATAAATTTGGGTATTATTTATCAAAGGCCAGATATGCAAAATGATATAAATCCATGCCAGGTAAGATAAATATCAACACTCTTATATATCTTTGACAGTAATGTGGTCACTGGTCATTGTTGTGATAAATGAACACTGTTTAAATGGTCAAAACATGTCAAAGAATCTATTTTGTTATTTGTTTTACTGACTTTAATAAATAGTATGTCAACTGCTAACTTGATATTGTATTTCCTGTCCAATATTTGCATTTGTGACATTTGTGATATTTATCGTATTTGCCTCATAGTGGTATCAGGGCCAGGAAGATCCGGGTTAGAATTGATCTTCAGCAACCTATGCTTGGCATAAGCAGCGACTAACTGGATCAGGTGGTCAGGCTCACTGACTTGGTTGACACATATCACCGTATCCCAATTGTGTAGATTGATGCTCATGCTGTTGATCACTGGATTGTCTGGTCCAGACTTGATTATTTACAAACCACCGCCATATAGTTGGAATATTGCTGAGTGTGGTGTAAAACTAAACTCACTCACTCACAGTGGAGTCGTTCCAGCCCTACTGGATACATACATGATATTTCTCTATGAGCAGATCTCTGTCAAACTCAGGTTCTTCAGCTTCTTCTTCTTCTTCATCATCTCCTTCCCCCTCCTCCTCCTCATCCTCTTCATACAATGTCTGCTGGACAGGTTCCCCCACCTCTGGAGATGCTGAAAACCAACAACATTATCCTGTGAGATTCATCACTGAACAGTAAATGGTACATCTATCAGTCATCAGTTTTCTATTACCTACAGAGCAGACGTCTTTGTATTGATGGAGAGGTGTATTTACATTGCTGGAGAGGTGTATTTACATTGATGGAGAGGTGTATTTACATTGATGGAGAGGTGTATTTACATTGATGGAGAGGTGTATTTACATGGATGGAGAGGTGTATTTACATGGATGGAGAGGTGTATTTACATTGATGGAGAGGTGTATTTACATGGATGGAGAGGTGTATTTACATGGATTGGAGAGGTGTATTTACATGGATGGAGAGGTGTATTTACATGGATGGAGAGGTGTATTTACATGGATGGAGAGGTGTATTTACATTGATGGAGAGGTGTATTTACATTGATGGAGAGGTGTATTTACATTGATGGAGGTGTATTTACAGGTGGAGAGGTGTATTTACATGGATGGAGAGGTGTATTTACATGGATGGAGAGGTGTATTTACATTGATGGAGAGGTGTATTTACATGGATGGAGAGGTGTATTTACATGGATTGGAGAGGTGTATTTACATGGATGGAGAGGTGTATTTACATGGGTGGAGAGGTGTATTTACATGGATGGAGAGGTGTATTTACATGGATTGAGAGGTGTATTTACATTGATGGAGAGGTGTATTTACATTGATGGAGAGGTGTATTTACATTGATGGAGAGGTGTATTTACATGGATGGAGAGGTGTATTTACATGGATGGAGAGGTGTATTTACATGGATGGAGAGGTGTATTTACATGGATGGAGAGGTGTATTTACATGGATGGAGAGGTGTATTTACATGGATGGAGAGGTGTATTTACATTGATGGAGAGGTGTATTTACATTGATGGAGAGGTGTATTTACATGGATGGAGAGGTGTATTTACATGGATGGATGGAGGTGTATTTACATGGATGGAGAGGTGTATTTACATGGATGGAGAGGTGTATTTACATGGATGGAGAGGTGTATTTACATGGATGGAGAGGTGTATTTATGGAGAGGTGATGGAGAGGTGTATTTACATTGATGGAGAGGTGTATTTACATGATGGAGAGGTGTATTTACATTGATGGAGAGGTGTATTTACATTGATGGAGGTGTATTTACATGGATGGAGAGGTGTATTTACATGGATGGAGAGGTGTATTTACATGGATGGAGAGGTGTATTTACATGGATGGAGAGGTGTATTTACATGGATGGAGAGGTGTATTTACATGGATGGAGAGGTGTATTTACATTGATGGAGAGGTGTATTTACATGGATGGAGAGGTGTATTTACATGGATGGAGAGGTGTATTTACATTGATGGAGAGGTGTATTTACATGGATGGAGAGGTGTATTTACATGGATGGAGAGGTGTATTTACATTGATGGAGAGGTGTATTTACATGGATGGAGAGGTGTATTTACATGGATGGAGAGGTGTATTTACATTGATGGAGAGGTGTATTTACATGGATGGAGAGGTGTATTTACATGGATGGAGAGTGTATTTACATTGATGGAGAGGTGTATTTACATTGATGGAGAGGTGTATTTACATGGATGGAGAGGTGTATTTACATGGGATGGAGAGGTGTATTTACATGGATGGAGAGGTGTATTTACATGGATTACACGGATGGAGAGGTGTATTTACATTGATGGAGAGGTGTATTTACATGGATGGAGAGGTGTATTTACATGGATGGAGAGGTGTATTTACATGGATGGAGAGGTGTATTTACATGGATGGAGAGGTGTATTTACATGGATGGAGAGGTGTATTTACATGGATGGAGAGGTGTATTTACATGGATGGAGAGGTGTATTTACATGGATGGAGAGAGATGTGTATTTACATGGATGGAGAGGTGTATTTACATGGATGGAGAGGTGTATTTACATGGATGGAGAGGTGTATTTACATGGATGGAAGGTGTATTTACATGGATGGAGAGGTGTATTTACATGGATGGAGAGGTGTATTTACATGGATGGAGAGGTGTATTTACATGGATGGAGAGGTGTATTTACATTGGATGGAGAGGTGTATTTACATGGATGGAGAGGTGTATTTACATGGATGGAGAGGTGTATTTACATGGATGGAGAGGTGTATTTACATGGATGGAGAGTGTGTATTTACATGGATGGAGAGAGAGGTGTATTTACATGATGGGATGGGTATTTACAGGTGTATTTACATGGATGGAGGTGTATTTACATGGATGGAGAGGTGTATTTACATTGATGGAGAGGTGTATTTACATGGATGGAGAGGTGTATTTACATGGATGGAAGGTGTATTTACATGGATGGAGAGGTGTATTTACATGGATGGAGAGGTGTATTTACATTGATGGAGAGGTGTATTTACATTGATGGAGAGGTGTATTTACATGGATGGAGAGGGTGTATTTACATGGATGGAGAGGTGTATTTACATTGATGGAGAGGTGTATTTACATGGATGGAGAGGTGTATTTACATGGATGGAGAGGTGTATTTACATGGATGGAGAGGTGTATTTACATTGATGGAGAGGTGTATTTACATGGATGGAGAGGTGTATTTACATTGATGGAGAGGTGTATTTACATTGATGGAGAGGTGTATTTACATGGATGGAGAGGTGTATTTACATTGATGGAGAGGTGTATTTACATGGATGGAGAGGTGTATTTACATGGATGGAGAGGTGTATTTACATGGATGGAGAGGTGTATTTACATGGATGGAGAGGTGTATTTACATTGATGGAGAGGTGTATTTACATGGATGGAGAGGTGTATTTACATTGATGGAGAGGTGTATTTACATTGATGGAGAGGTGTATTTACATGGATGGAGAGGTGTATTTACATTGATGGAGAGGTGTATTTACATGGATGGAGAGGTGTATTTACATGGATGGAGAGGTGTATTTACATTGATGGAGAGGTGTATTTACATTGATGGAGAGGTGTATTTACATGGGTGGAGAGGTGTATTTACATGGATGGAGAGGTGTATTTACATTGATGGAGAGGTGTATTTACATGGATGGAGAGGTGTATTTACATGGATGGAGAGGTGTATTTACATGGATGGAGAGGTGTATTTACATGGATGGAGAGGTGTATTTACATGGATGGAGAGGTGTATTTACATTGATGGAGAGGTGTATTTACATTGATGGAGAGGTGTATTTACATGGATGGAGAGGTGTATTTACATTGATGGAGAGGTGTATTTACATGGATGGAGAGGTGTATTTACATTGATGGAGAGGTGTATTTACATTGATGGAGAGGTGTATTTACATTGATGGAGAGGTGTATTTACATGGATGGAGAGGTGTATTTACATTGATGGAGAGGTGTATTTACATTGATGGAGAGGTGTATTTACATTGATGGAGAGGTGTATTTACATTGATGGAGAGGTGTATTTACATTGATGGAGAGGTGTATTTACATTGATGGAGTGGTGTATTTACATTGATGGAGAGGTGTATTTAGCTGGTGCTACATATGAAACCAGCTTACCTTTCTCATCACCCAAATATTCATGAAATACAGGAAAACTATTATACATATAAACAAGTATGGCTTAGTAGAAAAGTAGTAGTTTGGGGCACAGTCTGGAAGGCACACAGTGTCACTTAAAAGTGTCAAACTCGAATCACAGTGAAAATTATTCTCAGTCAGTAATTCAAGCAATCATTGCGTACCTATGTGAAAATGCTGATATGTTTGTACTTTACTGTAAATTACATTTGAAATTCTTCAATCGTTTTAGGTCATAGCAGGGTATGAAAAATTCAGCCAGACCACAGGGCTGGTTAGATGTAAAACTTGCCAGCCCTGACCAAAACGTACCCGCCAACAAAATATCTTCATACACCGGTACATGTCTAAGTTTTAACCCGACCGTAGGGCAGGTGAATTTGAGAATCTGGCAGTCTGTGTTGAAAATAACCCGTTCCGGGCGGTCGGGCAGGCAGGTATTTCTAATGCTGGTCATATCAAATATACTTTATTATATAAAATATCAACAGAAGTAATAGAAAGCTTTGTAAGAAATAATGTTACCTTGTCTGTCTGGCGTAGTTGGAACCAACATGTCTGTCTGGATTACCTCCCCTTGATCACCAGTTGGAGTTGGTTCCCTCGATAGTTTCTCCCCAACACCCACAGTACTCTCTGGTCTCTCTCCATCAGCAAATGTGTCGCTCTGGTTTAAAGATACATAATTTCAAATCAATAATTTCTTAATTGAATTTCTGTTTGCAGAAGACAAGATTTTAAGTTTGTTGTGTGATATGCAGGGCAGACATCTTGACTGTCAGGTGAATGCTTTGTCTCATGAAACATGTAATACGATGGTATGGATATATTGTTTGACAAAAGAAACAAATCTTAGTAATACTTTCTTATAATTAGTATGTACACTGAGCTATTCTGTGGAAAAGAAATTCCATGACGTCATATCACTGGTCCTAATAATAATAATGGAAACAATACAGAGAGTTATCACATTGAAAACAAGATACTGGATTTCAAGAATTTTATATCCTTACTCTTTGAAAGTGCTAAAAATTGAAACTATTTACCTGGGGCAAGGGTGATTTGCTTTCCTCTTCTCTAGGGGTTTCAGTCTGTTCAGCTCCTTCCTCTTTCGCTTCCCCCTCAGCCTGAGCTTCCCCATCTCCAGCTTCAGATGGCCCCTCCCCAGATTCAGCAGGTGCTTGTTCTCCTTCAGCTGCTCCTTCTGCTCCAGCCTCCCCTTCTGCTTCCCCTCAGGCTTCACCTCACCTTCAGGTGCCTCTTTCCCCTCCCCCTCTGCCTCACCCTCATCTGTCTTAGCCTCACCACCTTCTTCCACTGCTGCTTCACCTTGAATAAGGAAGTCATGTTTAGCAGTCAAATACAATTACAGCTTGTTCAGCTTGACCTGAGCTACTCTACATATGCATGACCCGGGAGGTCAAATGGCACAACTTCATTAAATAGGGGAGCAAAGAACGTTATTAATGTTGCTGCTCACTGCCTAAAAGCTCGAATCGGAAACAATAAACCATCTGAAGCTTCTTTTTTACAGAAAGTTAGGACATTGCTGATGATTTTCGACACTGAGGTGTCAAACGGCGACCTTGTCTCGACTGTTCGGACATGTTGACAATCAATGCACCCCATCACAATAATAGACCCAACCAGTTGTGACACGGTCACGCAATGCATTAGTATTCACTTGATCAGGTCAAGCTTAACGAGCTGTACCTTAAACACAGGTCTCACAGGTGCATACATGGAACAAGGGAGATAATTCTACAGATATACAAATTCTTCATCACAATGAAGTTGTATATCCATAGAATTATCTCCCCTGTTCATCACACCAATTTCTTAATGCATACTTGTAGACATGTAAGGCATTTTTCCTTAAAATCCATTTAAATACATCTATTTAGTAAAATCGAGCATGGACATTAGATGGCTATACAATTGCATCTCCAATTCTCAGGATTGACACATATCCCAATGTAGCGATAGATGTGCTGGAGTGGTATTGCATGGTGTACAAAATATATACTGTGGAAGAAATCAGCATAAATTTGCACTTTTGCACTGATTTTCAACCAAAGCATAATAACATCACTGAAATCATTTTGAGACAACGTCATACCTTCTTGTTTTTCTGCCTCTCCCTCAGCTTGTTGCTCCCCCTCTGCTGCTGCTCCTGGGGTTTGAGGTTTCTCCTCCCCCTCTTCCGTTTTCTCTCCCTCACCAGCCTCTCCTTCACCTTCACCAGCAGGGGTTGCCTCCCCTTCCTTTGCTTCCCCTTCAGCTGGGGCTTCAGTCACAGGTGCTAGAAATGATTACCATATTCTGAACTAACAAGCCAGTTCTAAGACAAGAAACATTGTGGTTTGAAGATATCTTGAAATTTTCAACCTTAATTATTACAATCAAAACTGCACTAAAATATTTTTTTAATTACCATTAAAACATTCTAATGCCATCAAGACAAGACCATTATTTAACAAAATAAATGTGAACATAATCTTTGAAAATGGTATGAGAAATATTTTCAATTTTCATTATCCTCCCTCCATATTTACTCCATTGAAAAACCCCAAACAGTTGTATGACTAGCAGGAGAACTTTCTACCTGAATCCCCATCAGGTTGTGTGTCTCCCTCCTGCTGAACTGACTCCCCAACTCCATCACCTTCTGTCCCGTCCTGACTCTCTTCAGGTGCAGCACCTTCAGTAGGTGTTTCAGCAGGAGCAGCAGGAGCCTCTGCTGCTGGAGTTGTTGCCTCCTCAGTTACCTCAGCTTGCTCAGGCGTTGCTGGAGTTTCTGCTTCCTGCAAATATTGCTAGTATGCTTCAGATGTAACACATGTTATATTTGTTATACTTTCTCAGAAAAGTCAAGATTCTAGTGCTTTTGTTGGGTTCAGTCCTATGCGATATTTGAGCCCGAGCTCTAAGAGTCAGGCACCTAATCGCCAGCAAACAAAGTCAGCCATCTAACCCACTCAGCCTCATCTTCCACATGACACTGTGTATTCACAGAGTTAATTTGATGCAAATCTCTGGGCTGTCTGCTTTAGCCCTCAGGAACCTGTTACAATTGATTGCATAGAAAGACTGAGTTGTCTATACTAACAACTTGAATGAGCTGAATTTTTGGTAATTATGATTTGGATAATTTCAGATGGCAAATGCAAAACTGTGATTTTATCGAGAGATTGACAGTCTGTCACACCGTCCCTCAACCATATTATTGTCCCATCTGCGTAATCCCTTATGTGCAGTCCCGTCTGTTAGTGTTATTTAATTTCCATAAATAAATCAAGTCTACAATTTCCTCAGGTCCATTTTCAGGTTCAGAATTTCACATCCCACTTGGGATCTCCTTTTCATTAAAAATGGAGTCATTTGTTTCTGTCATAACATAAATATGACAGAAAAATATATTTTTAGACAGTTTGTCTATGAGATTGAAACCACAAGTGACGTTATTCTACATTCATATGTTTTAGGGGTCCAGGTCTATTGAGTGTACAATACAGGTAATAGGGGCTCAAAATGGAAAAGTATTAGTAATACTAAAAGCTAGAGATAACAGCTACCCCATTTAACAGTTATCACGGATGATAGAGAGTGTTTAAGATAAAGCTGTCTTTAATATGTTAGTGACATATTTTACAACTGTTCATGCGATAATGGAGAAAAACATCGGGTGTCCGAACACCCATAACGCGATCCCTCGGTTGTTGACATCCGATAACAAATGAATTTAAGTCTTTTCCGTGAAAGACACAACGTTTTCTGTACTTTGTACCCCGATTGCATCTATATATCTAGATGGGAGATAGCATCATATTCATCGTCTATAGACAAACATGCCATGAAATACCTTATTTAGGTTTAGGATTTGCGCAACTTACTTGTGTGTCCGCCATCTTGGTTGTCAAGTAAACTGTAAACTATGAGGATGCCGGGAAGTATTTACTAGGCTCCGTCTCGCGCACCGGCGAAAGCTTCTGCACAGCACGTGTTACCTTCACATAAACTGGATGTAAGCAACTGTCGATGTGAGGAGCTGGTGCCTAATTCACCTGTGCTGTTATATAACGGGAGTTTGTCGACGAGCTACATTAAACAGTAAAACACCATAAATAATGGCCCGAATGGAAAAATGTAGACTAACCCCTGGTCTCTTAATACAAATAATTTCGTTAGAAACAAATAATTCCAACTATATTGGAAAGGAGACTCAATGAAATGGTTAGGGGACGTTGAGACAGACTAAAAAAAAAAGAAATTCCATAGTTGGGGTGGAAGGTAAGGTATGGTGTGGAACCAGCATTATAAATAGATAAGAGTAGGGAGACAGGGTGCGGATCGTGCCTTGCCAATATATTTCGCCAATTTTTAAAGCGTGTGATCAAAGTTGACAATTTCATGATTGTCCATTACCAAATGTTCAACACATACATATATGCAAATAACTATTAGTTAAGGGGGAAATGTTATACAACTTCACGAGTTTAATTGGCGTAGTCAGGTATATCAGGAAATATATATACCATCCTCTACATCGATCAGTATGCAGGTATCGTTTTGTTTTTCAACAGACAAACACCTAGTCTCTGACATGAACATATTCTACAGAAACGTGCGTTATATAGGATATTTTAAGGGACCGTTCATAATTTATGGATAGGGGGTTATGATGATTTTAAGGGGTCACCCATTTTGTTCTGTGGAGCTAGGGGGTCAACAATTTTGTACACACGTACTACTAGGCGGGGTCAGCAATTTTGTACATAAAAATATGTTTAAAATTATGGTTAGAAATTATGGGAAGGGAGGGAGGTCACTGATTTTGTACATGACATGCATGCAGGGGGTCACTTATTTTGTACATACATTTTAAGGGGGTGTCATTCAAATTGTACATGCTTCTCCACCAAAATCATCATCATCCCCCTAGCCATAAATTATGAACGGTCCCTAAGGGGGTCACCCATTTTGTTCTGGGGAGGTGGGGGGCAGGCGCATCAATCTTTTACACATGTACTGGAGGGGAGTAATTGATTTTGTACATGACATGCAGGGGTTCACTTACTCCTTACTCTGTACATAAATGGGATAGTCATTCACATTGTACATGCTTCTCCATAAAATAATCATCATCATGCACCTCCTAGCCATAAATAATGAACGGTCCCTTAATTAATTAGTCCTGATGTTTTCCCAAGCACACCAGCAGTTCACAATTTTAGTTATTAATAGTTATGACTGTTCTTATTAATATAATCCAGAAGAAAAATATCAGAGACTGATCCTGCCATTGATCATAATATTATTAAGGTTCAAAAGTCGTGACTTATCGGGCGCTTGCGATTTAAATCTATACTTCCCATCAAAAGTTTAGACTCGCTAGTGTAAATATAGCCATGCACTTACTACAGCCAACTGTTCTAAACTAACTTTTGCAAAATATTCCATACTGCTTAAAGGCACTGTTTACACATGAATTGATGTATTGTAAAACATATTCGTAACGTTGGAAAGATCATTGTCATGAGTTCAATAAATGATGAAACTCAGTGAAAGTTGACGAATTCTTAACAAAACTTTACACCAAAACGCAGCTGTTCACATGTTTTTCAGCAATTTGATGCATGATCCTCGTCCAGTTCATCTGCATAGGGTTTGCAGTTGGTTCCCCTAAGATAGTGGATGGATCAATCTTCTATGTAACCATATATCACTCATTCTCAGTTAACTGGGACCATATGGGTCTACAACTGTGAAAAAATATAGTCAATAAAATCCAAATTTCCAAATATGGCCGTGACGTAAATTACAGTAACGTAAATCACTTCTGGTAATGAATGTGGCAAGATGAATAAATACAGAATGCTTGGTTGGGGTACATATATAACAGACCGCCGGGCCCCAAATGTACAGTGAAGAAGACTATTACTGGGATGCTAGATTTTGAGTTATAACGGTAACGTATGATTACTTGCTTAAAAAATCTCTACTGGTGTCGAGTATATTTTTCCATATTGTAAGAAAAATCAATGTTAACGAAACTATATGTTTTTACATATCGAGAATAGATAAACAGGCCAATGAAGAAAAGTTATCATGTTGGTCTGTGCGATGATTTACCACAAGAAAAGCTGTAAACAAACACAAAGTAACGTAAATTACTCTGACTCTATCGACATAATCTAAACGTGAGTTTTGTGTTTTGCTTGGTGAACCATCGACATGCTAACATGGGCAAATTAACCCGTATGTAATTTGGTTCTTTCATGACACTAAATATAACAAAACTTCCGTTGGATAAAATTTGGCAAATGCAAAGAATACACACTACCGACATAGCAAAAATGCCGCCATAGAACCAAATGTTTGCCTCTGACGCTGCAATATGACTTGGTGCAATCTTTTTGAAGGTTGATACTGACTGTAAACAGTGTTATTTAGAATATCTGCTCAGATACACATCGATTTAATATCAAATTTGAAATCACAGACCCCAAAAAGTCGGCGACAGCAATGGTCCCAGTTAACTGAGAATGAGTGATATATATATATATATATCAGCGCCTTGAGCAAGCACTAGTTGCGTGGATATGTGCGCTATATAAATATCCTATAAATAAAAAAAGATAAAATAAAAAATAAAAAATAAATATACTTAACATAGAGTGAGTCTACACTGTAGCGCCAGCGCAGCATATCCAGAGAACCAGGCTGGGATAAACTATGCCAATGGCCTTTGACCTGACCTAGAAATATTTGGAGGGAATATTCAATGACGCGAAGTTGAGTGGAGACTGCTATTGTGGTGAACAACATTCTTCAAAAACAACGAATCTATCAAAATGATGTCTACAAACCACCTGATCCCTTCACCCACCGTCGTTGCCAGCAACAGAGGACAGATTCAGGTAAAATATCATGTGCACGCGAAATGTGTTTAGATCCCATAGATCTACTGTTGAGAGGCGGTGATGTTTATCTCAATTCCAGTTCATCCGATCTCCAGATATATTTGAAAGTTCAATAATTGATTGGTATATGTTCAGAACCTCCTGAGTGATTTGTCTATTAGCTACGATAACAATACAGTACAATTTGTACTTTGTTCATGGCAGTGTAAATTTCTGTAGTCATATGCATGTTTCATCTGGAGAAGTAAAAAAAATTCCTTCGTGTTTTTCTTGAAAATTAGATTAGATTAGAATTTAGTTATCAATATTTAAAATAACAAAAATCATTTTCTGATTTAGTTGTACATATATACAGGTAGAGTTCACTTGGATTTCAACTTGTTGAGTCTATCTTTCCAACACTGCAGTACAAATTCTAATGATCAACATAGTTATGTTACGTTAAGCAGGGCTCCAGATAATTTTTGAACACCAGGAGTACGTACTCCTTATTTTTTCAATATAGGAGTACTCGAAAACCTTAAGCCTACAGTACTGAATGGAATTTAATGGAGTATCAGTAATCTTGTGTTTCATTTCATATATACATTGCTAGTCTTGTGTAAACAGGTCAATATACAATAAACAATACTTTTTCAGATAAATACGTCTGTAAATGATTCTAAGACCGTACACCATTGCCATGGTGCGTATCTGCTACGTTTTATAAATTATTTCCTACCATATCGTGCAAATTTTTTATCCATACATACGCCGATACGGCCCTTATCTGGAGCCCAGTTAAGAGTTACATATACAGAGATGAAAAAAGAAAGACAAACAAGCGTTGATAGGGATGAAGCCAAGGGAAGAAGTGTCTAGCATGGTGGCTGACTGCATCCTGAAGTTACAGTGTGCATTTCTAGTTGATGTACTAGTAACATTTCCCCCAGTCTGTTATCTAACATTAACAATAATCATGATAATAGTCTGTATATATATATATATATATATACGCTACTATCTGATCAAAATGAAGCTAAGTGTCTTGCGCAGACCAATATCTTATGCTTATGTCTACATTCTTCATCATGTTAATTAGTATTACCATAACTATTGTATATACTGTAATGTATAGTGTCATAACCATGGTTACATGTGTTTGTTTGGTATTTTGCAGGTAATCTTTGGACCTATGTTCTCAGGGAAAACGTAAGTGATCATAGATAAATAGTTCTAATTGCATGAGATGTCACAAGACAATTGCATAATCCCTGAATATATACAATTTTGATAGAAATGAATAATTCCATGTAAATTGAAAAGGAGCCCCAGAAAGATAAGAGACATGCTCCATTTAGGGCTATTGCATTGCAGAAAGCGCTGGGAAGAAGGGGAAAATAGTATGGTCCAGGAGTGTGAGACAATAGCATCACACAGTGGAAATCTGATGTAATTCCCATAAATAGGTCGTAAGATCTTCATGCAGAGAGGTTTTAATAACACAACATTTTTGGCTCTCATTTTGCCTGCCAAGGGCACTTTGGCATCGTAGATTTACCCTAGATATATTATTTGTTTGATCATTGAGTGATAAATACCGTATTCAACATAATATAGTGTAGATATGTTGACATGGTTAATGTCACTGCAGCTTGTTCCAATCTTTTCTTTGGAAAATTTGCATGTGACTGTGGGATTTATAAAGAGGCCAATATTTGGTCCCAAGTCTGCTGCCAATGTCTTTAAAAATTCCCCAAATGGAATCAAAAGGTTCCCAAAGTATGTTATTATATATATATACACAGCTATTTATGTTGCCTTGTAGTAAAACAACAACTGTACTTCACTGACAATAATCTGCATTGTGCAGGGGCCTAATCAGTGGCATGGAACATTGTTATATTTTGAAAATATGAATTTCAGAAAAAGTTCAATAATTTTTAAAAACACCAGGGAATCTGGTCAACATAAATATGGTTTTCTTGTGTCAATGAAACATCTTACAGTTTTGATAAGAATGTTTGTGATCACTAAGGTGGTTTGTTTCTTTGTCCAGCACGGAGCTAATGAGAAGGATGAAGAGATACCAGGTAGCTAATTACTCATGTCTGATCATGAAGTACGCCAAAGACGACCGCTACGACAAGCACGGCATCTCTACACACGACAGGTAACACTGCTATATATTGACTCAACTGTCCTAGCTCAGGACTAACAAGGGGCGGTGGGGTAGCCTAGTGGTTAAAGCTTTGGCTCATCACACCGAAGACCCGGGTTCGAATCCCCACATGGGCACAATGTGTGAAGCCCATTTCTGGTGTCCCCCGCCGTGATGTTGCTGGAATATTGCTAAAAGCGGCGTAAAACCAAACTCAATCTGTCAGTCAGGACTAACAAAGTGATCAGGTTGTGATTTCTCACCACCCTTATTTAAGATGATGAAGCTAACACTGTTGTTTTAGTCATTCACCTGTTTGTGAGTTGACTGCACATAATAATATTATTCTACTAATATATTCCAAAAACTTTACAGTGGTCTTCCAACATTGTTGTGGGTTTGTTGCTTTTGTGCTGCTTAAAATGTCTACTTCTACCCATCCTCTGTAAGTTGGATTGTAATCCAAGATTGTTTTGTTTTAAACAGGGACTAGTTGTCAACTATTTTAAGCCAGAAACAATTAACCAGTGGACAGGGATTTAATGTTGGAAACTGGGGACCAGTAGTCAGGAATGTCAAGTCAGAAACTGGGGACCAGTAGCTATAGTCAGGATTGAGAAAACTGGGGGCCAGTCGTCAGGAATGTAAAGTCAGAAAATGGGAACCAGTTGTCAGGAATGTAAAGTCAGAAAATGGGAACCAGTTGTCAGGAATGTAAAGTCAGAAACTAGGGACCATTAGTCAGGAACGTAAAGTCAGAAACTGGGGACCAGTAGCTATAGTCAGGAATGTAAAGTCAGAAACTGGGGACCAGTTGTCAGGAATGTAAAGTCAGAAACTAGGGACCAGTTGTCAGGAATGTAAAGTCAGAAACTGGGGACCAGTCGTCAGGAATGTAAAGTCAGAAACTGGGGACCAGTCGTCAGGAATGTAAAGTCAGAAACTGGGGACCAGTAGTCAGGAATGGAAAGTCAGAAACTGGGGACCAGTAGTCAGATATGGAAAGTCAGAAACTGGGGACCAGTCTATAGTCAGGAATGTAAAGTCAGAAACTGGGGACCAGTAGTCAGGAATCAAATTAATGGTCTGTGACTTTCTTGTTAAGCACTACTTCAGCAAGTGTTCATGGTCTCCTTCAAAGCCTTAACTGAAATTCAACCTCACTAATGCAACAGCAGTTTGTTTATGCCTTCTAACATACTTCTATTACAGACAGGTGCTTCCGGCCATGGCTACTGAGAAACTGATGACTCTGGCCAATGATGTGATGAAGTATGAAGTCATCGGTATTGATGAGGGACAGTTTGTAAGTCTCAGTGTCATGATAAGTCATATGAAACAAATAATAATCACAGTTAGTATTTTGGCAACATGGTAACTATTTGATATGATTGTGTCAGGAACTGTGGAAAAAGGTGATCAAGTTAATGAAGTGTGACTTAGTATCATTTCACTGGGCATCGGTGAAAATATACAACTGTAAGACACAGGTGGTAATTAATAAAATCTATTCTGCTGTGACCAAGTTTCATTGTCTTAAATACCCGTGAAGGCCTGGGTTAGAATATTGGTCTTCAGTAACCCATGCTTGTCGTAAGAGGCGACTAACGGCATGGGGTGGTCAGGCACTTGTCATTGGTTCCCAATTGTGCAGATCGATGCTCATGCTGTTGATCACTGGATTGTCTGGTCCAGACTTGATTATTTACAGACCGCCGCCCTATAGCTGGAATATTGCTGAGTGCGGCATAAAACTAAACTCACTCACTCGCTCATTGTCTTAAATGCTATAGCTGCCTCCATACTCAAGTGCATAAGGTCTTGGAGTTGGTATACTGTGTGTGTGTGTGTGTGTTCAATGAGACCCTGCAGCATGGGATCTCAGTGGGCTAGCACTTTAAATCTGGCAGTAGTCCAGACAAATGTATGCAGCCACACATTACATTAAATGCTATGTAAAGATATAGGAATTCAAGTCGAGAAAGTTTCACTGCTAAGACTGAGACATCCATTCATTCATCTACTTCCTTTTCAGTTTCCTGACGTGGTGGCTTTTGCTGACGCCATGGCAGAAAAGGGGAAAGTTGTCATAGTAGCAGCACTGGATGCGACATTCCAAAAGAAGGTTGGTTCATATTGTGTTGTAACCAGCATATCCGACTGGAAGGTATGAGATGTGAACTGGTTGGCATATCTGATGAACAGGTGTGTAACCAGCATTTTGATGATTAAGAGATATGTAAGGTAATCATTAGATGATAACATTGTGTACGATAACCAGCATGTCTGATGATAAGTTGGATTGTAACCAGTATGTATTGTAACCAGCATATCTGATTCAATGACCAGAGGTGTCCTGTAACCAGCATATCTGATGTCGAGGTGTACTGTAACCAGCATATCGAGGTGTACTGTAACCAGCATGTCTGATGTCGAGGTGTACTGTAACCAGCATATCTGATATCGAGGTGTACTGTAACCAGCATGTCTGATGTCGAGGTGTACTGTAACCAGCATATCTGATGACGAGGTGTACTGTAACCAGCATATCTGATGTCGAGGTGTACTGTAACCAAGTATATAACCAGCATGTCTGACGAGGTGTACTGTAACCAGCATGATGTCGAGGTGTACAAAATCGATGTCGAGGTGTACTGTAACCAGCATGTCTGATGACGAGGTGTACTGTATAACCAGCATATCTGATGACGAGGTGTACTGTAACCAGCATATCAATGATAAGAGGTGTACTGTAACCAGCATATCTGATGACGAGGTGTACTGTAACCAGCAGAGGTGTACTGTCTGATGATGATGAGGTGTACTGTAACCAGCATATCTGATTGACGAGGTGTACTGTAACCAGCATATCTGATGTCGAGGTGTACTGTAACCAGCATATCTGATGACGAGGTGTACTGTAACCAGCATATCCAATTACGAGGTGTACTGTAACCAGCATATCTGAAGGTGTACTGTAACCAGCATATCTGATGTCGAGGTGTACTGTAACCAGCATATCTGATGACGAGGTGTACTGTAACCAGCATATCCAATGACGACTAGGTGTACTGTAACCAGCATGTCTGATGACGAGGTGTACTGTAACCAGCATATCTGAGCAGGTGTACTGTAACCAGCATATCTGATGATGAGGTGTACTGTAACCAGCATATCTGATAACGTACTGTAACCAGTATATCCAATGATGAGGTGTACTGTAACCAGCATATCTGATGACGAGGTGTACTGTAACCAGCATATCTGATGACGAGGTGTACTGTAACCAGCATATCTGATGACGAGGTGTACTGTAACCATCTGATGACGAGTCGCATTACTGTAACCAGCAGATCTTATGACAAGGTGTACTGTAACCAGCATATCTGATGATGATGTGTATTGTAACCAGCATATCCAGTGATGTAACTAGCATACCCAGTATGAGGTGTATTGTAACCAGCATATCCAGTGATGAGGTGTACTGTAACCAGCATATCCAGTGATGAGGTGTATTGTAACCAGCATATCCAGTGATGAGGTGTATTGTAACCAGCATATCCAGTGATGAGGTGTATTGTAACCAGCATATCCAGTGATGAGGTGTATTGTAACCAGCATATCCAGTGATGAGGTGTATTGTAACCAGCATATCCAACCACTGTGAATCCTACACTCCATGTTTCAGGGTTTCGGAGACATCTTGAATCTTGTGCCGCTAGCTGAACACGTGGTGAAGCTGTCTGCTGTCTGCATGACCTGTTACAACGAGGCGTCGTTTACAAAGAGGAAAGGGAATGAAACAGAGGTAGGGTGATGCCATGGTTTCATCATTTCTTTTGAGGGCTGAGGGGGCGCGGTGTCTGAATGCCACAGGGGACAATTTTAATGAAAACAAGAAAAATATTCCTACATCCTTTTCAGAGTTTTCTCAGTAATGATACACAAATTTCCGATCACAATAGTGCCTTAGATTTTATTCACCTTTAGATAACGCCACCCTGGTAAAAGTGTTTTCACGATTGTTTCTGCAGGGATGGCAATTTTCTGCGGATTTCCGCTGATTTTATTTCAAATTGTTCAATTGTGAATCGTCTAAATCCATTGAGAAACCCTCAATTCGATGACACAATATTAAGTTTTCAGCTGAAAATAGATTTTCCTGTTGCCATCCCTGTTCTGGTGGCAAGAATGGAGATGATGCCGTCAACTACTGGTTTGACTGACTGCAGCTCTGTTATATACAAGGTTCAGCAACTGACTGGAAAAACATTCTCTCATCATTTACACAGCTATTACTATATCCAGTGACCTTAAGCTGAATGATGAAACACTTCAAATATTTATATACACTCATACATATATATACTCATACAAGATCTTGTGTTTTGTCTACCACTGTTTGAATGGTACAGCACCGAGCTATCTATCGGAACTGATCTCACCATACCAGCCTTCACGACGTCTAAGGTCTGAAAACCAATGCCTACTTGCAGTACCAAACTCAAGAGTAAAATCCTACGGCAACAGATCGTTTCAAGTAGCAGCACCTCAGTTATGGAACCCACTACCTCAGAACATTAGAGAATCCCCCACCCTTGAGACATTCAAAACCAACCTAAAAACCTTTCTCTTTAGAAAGTTCTATCCCCACGAACTATCTCCTCCCGTGAACTTCTCATCTGTCACTATTGTAGCGCCTTGAGCATGCACCTTTGTGGATGGAACCCAGCGCAATATAAATAGACATTATTATTATTATTATTATGATTACATATGTATATCTTGTTTTTGAATGCATCCTAGGTTGAGGTCATCGGAGGGTCAGACAAGTATTTAGCCGTGTGTCGAGCATGCTTCAAGTCTCCATGTAAAAAGTCTCCTCGACGCTCACCACTCAAAGACATCAACAACACCCCTCAGTCAAACAACATCCTCGCAGACAAGTCCTACATCAACAGACAGCTGTTCACGTCACCACAGATGTAAACAAGCTACAGTTCTGTACACCTTAGTGCTAAACCGAGTAGATCCAAGCAAGAATTGATCTTCAGCAATCCACGCTTGTTGTAAGAGGCGTCTAACGGGACTGGGTGGTCGGTCTCACTGAGCTGGTTGTTGCATGTCATTGTGTCACACTGCCACAGAAGGATCTCATGATGTCAGTCACTGGATTGTTTGGTCTAGACTCGATTATATACAAACCGGAATGTAGCTGGAAAATTGCTGAATGTGGTGTTCCAACAACAGGCAGAAAAACCAGCTCTGTGCCCTCTGCATGACAAACATTATTTCCACTGACCTTTTTAATATCTTTTTTAACTCTCTTGAAAAGATATTGTGGTACCCACAAAAGTTAATCATTCCTTATTTCAGGCCTGAAAGTTCATTCTTATCATCACATAGTGCTGTGAATGTTTTGTACAAGTGGTCACAGATCGATACACACGGTAATCCATGTGTTTCAGAACCTGTTATTTCATCTGGTATGATGCTATCTGAAATAAGGTGTTTTTATCATACATGTTCAACAATACCATTGAAACTATGCGGAGTTATTTTTAGTTCAAGGACATTGTGTCTATTCAGGTTCCAACAGAAGCATGACAGTAGGATCCTAAATGATCTGCCCATTTCTGGTGTCCCCCGGCTTGATATTGCTAGAATCTTGCTAAGATTGGCGTAAAACCCAACTCACTCACTCACTCACTCACTTAAATGATTCATTGAGTTGAAGGACTTTGGGTTCATCAGGTTTTACTGTACTGAAAAACATCAAAACTAACAGGATAGGGGTGAAATGATACACCAAGGATATGATACTTATCATAATACATAAGTCTCCATTTGATACATATATTGCTGTGCATATTTACTCTAAATTGTGCAGAAACTACATGACCATAAACATTTCATAAGTATATTCAAAGAGAAAAAGCTAGTTGTAGAAACGTGTAGTGTGGGCTATCTTTATTGGGGAACTTTAAACGCTAATTACAACACACTTTCAATATTTGATAAAAATGCAGTCCATTCAGTCTTTGATAGATACAGAAAAAATATCACATATTGTATTGTCACATGGAAACTCTAAATGCAACTGTACCAATGCATCATTTCACCACTAAAGGGTGTTCAATTTTTAAAGAATTTGTAACATTTGTTTTATCAATATTTGAAGTACTTTTTACAAACTTTTAATGTTAAATGTTGGAGCATGACATTGTACATAATGTGACTTAAACTTTGAATTTTCAAAATCTGTTGTCACATACTTGGACACCTTTCTAAGTATGTTTATCAACAGATTATAAAAACAGCTTGTGAATGTCGGTGCATACATTGGAAAGTCCTTTCACTCATTGTTACCTTTCAGTATTGTAAAAAAAGAAGATGCATTGAAATAAGTTTTGCTTTAGATATGTTTTACATGTGATCAATGGTAACTAAGAATTATCTCAGGTATTGTACCTTGATGAAACTATATGACCTACATGAATAAGAACCATTTTGATCCACTGGACATGGCACTCTTTCGAGTATCAGGAAACTTTGAAATAAACGGAGAAACAAAAATAAAGGACCACAGGAAAATTTAAGCGTTCCTTTATTATTTTCCAGTTTTCATTACCACAGCGCTATTCAAGCTGGTGATGAAAACTAGAAAATATTGAAGGAACACTTGAATTTTCCTGTGATCCTTTATTTGTTTCGGTATTTGTTGCAAGACAAATGACCATTTTCCCTCCCATCATTTGTAAGATTATTTACACCATGATATAGCAGAAATATTCCTGATTGATGTTTTTAACAACAAACAAAATATGCTCTATGCTATATAAGAGCAGCTTTTTATTGTACTATTGTACATTCATTTTGTATTGTATGTCTATGTCCTTCAAGTGAAGGAAATATATCCTCATGTTACGGGTTTTCATCTCTGTTGACTCGATTACCTCATGACCACTTGACTGGTCACTAAATTATAAAAGATATCTTTATTCTAAACACAAGCCCTCATTCAAGAGTTCACAATGTCTGTGACGCAACCCCCTTCGTTACAACCCAAGTGAGCACTCTGTCCCAAGTTGTATGATGTCTGAAAACCTATGACTGCGAAAAATGAATGCGTACAAGAGTTTGTATGTTTTAAGATCCATCCATTAGCATAACTTTGTTGATTTGTTCATTTTTTACAAGAGTTCAGTCTATTATCTTCGTTCCTCCACTGTATCATTTGTATTTATGGATTTCTAATTGTAAATAGATGTATTCATCCTGTCCTAATAAAAAGTATATATAACTTGGAAAGTCGAGTTTTCTTTCAAAATATTATTTGCCCGGAAATAGTGGCCTTTTCTGTAGTGACTGATTATCTTTACACAGCTATCCACAGTACTATAAAAGATTGAGTCTGGACAATGCAAACAGGTGATTGAAAGCATGAGCCTCCATACTCATTACTGGGTCAGGGTGACCAGCAGTTACTAGTCACCACTGACAACAGGTTCAACTGTTTCAACCTTTACACCACAAAACAACTGATATCTACAGGTCTCTATATTCATAGAATCAGGCTACCAGGTAAGGAAGCTTATTGTCCCCCGCCGCAGCGCGGAACGGGGGACTATGTATTCAGCAGCGTACGTACGTCACGTCCCGATTCTTGTTAACGCGATATCTCATGAACTGTTGTACCCAATGTCTTCAAATTTGGTGTCAGCCTACATTGGGGGATTACGCAGACACAAGTCGATTTGCGTGACCTTGACCTTATTTTCAAGGTCACCACGACGCTTTGACCACTTTTCCAACTCTTGTTAACGCGATATCTCATGAATTGTTGTTACATTGTACCCAATGTCTTCAAATTTCGTGTCAGCCTACATTGGGGGATTACGCAGACACCAGTCGATTTGCGTGACCTTGACCATATTTTCAAGGTCACCACGACACTTTGACCACTTTTCCAACTCTTGTTCACGCAATATCTCATGAACTGTTGTACCCAAAGTCTTCAAATTTGGTGTCAGCCTACATTGGGTGATTACGCAGACACCAGTCGATTTGCGTGACCTTGACCTTATTTTCAAGGACACCACAACACTTTGACCACATTTCAAACTTATTTAAATGCGATATCTTATAAAACATTGCACGCAATGTTTTCAATTATGTTGACAGCTTACATTGGGTGATTATGCAGACACCTGTCATTTCAGGCATCGTGTGTGTGACCAAAAAAATAAAAAATAGTAAATATAGATATTCCATTCTTTAGCGGCGGGGGACATTGCCATATCAGTGGCAAACACTTGTATTTAATTATATCTACTGTTCACTCATCCCCATCAACATTCTACACAAATAATGCCTGATCACTGGATTGTCTGGTCCAGACTCGATTATTTACAGACCACTGCCATATAGCTGGAATGATGCTGAGTGGTGTGTTAAAAAACGAAAAACAAAACAAATTGTGCATCTTATATTGTTTATTGTTTGTATACTGTACTTATTTACATATAAACAACACATAAATAGACGACTGGTTGATGGAGTTTGTACAGGTGAATAATGAGATGATGATGACCTGTTGACCATACCCTGCCATCACGTACAGCATCTGATCAGCCACACATTCACTGACACATAGTAGGGGCTCAGAGCACATCACACTTTCTGGTCCACTACCACAAAGTGATGTTAGTGCGATCGTAGGACTTTGACTGGTGTAAGTCTTTGTTAAAGTATTGGAATTATGAGCATCTTAGCACTAGGATCACTTTGTGTAATGGCCTTGGTCCATACACATACTGAATAACCATGAACAACTTGTCCATTACACAGGTACTAAGCTGAGACAAAAACTCTGATTGGAACATAAATGCACCAAATGTAATAACAAATTCTTTGCAAATGAAAATGTTTTACATGTTTACACACAGATCAGACAAATGTATAAATGTGCCCAGGGAACTGCTGAAGAAACCTAAGATTGCATGGTGTGGGATGACTTGGGTTTCATTCCACGAAATGATCATAGACTGACTGTCGTAAGTCACTTTTGGAATTATGGTAGTTACGATCTCCTTCAAGCAATGGCAATTTCTCAGGAGAAAGATCCTCATCAACTGCAAGGCAGTGAGTGATATATTGCTTCTAGTCATACATCAACAGGGATTGCACACCACCTTCTGATATTGTGTGGGATCGAACTCAGATCTTCAGCATACCAAGCCAAAGCATCAGCTACTCCACCACCCCTCAAACTGCTACTTAACAATGACAAGACATTCTGGCTCACCACATACTCTGGTCCATTCCACACCACATGACAAAGGTACATGGTGCTCTGATGTAGGAAAACTGACCAACTGCATAAAAGAGTACCCAAAGGACATCATGCCCCATACAAACATGGAGAAGAAGGTTTTTGGCTAAGATGGTCATATATAATCTATGGGACTGCATGTACACAGGATAATTAAGAAGCATGCCATATGACACACTTACATAACAGACACATCATTTAGTATAGAGGGGTCAGCTAGAAGATTTTGATGCCCAAATGTACTGGAAATATCCTTCCACTAATGCTTTTCATATTCCCCAATCATGTTCTTGTGTATTTTTTTAATCACCCTTTCTGAAAACAAAACAAAAGTGCCTTATTTTTTATGTCCATTTTTTCTGACCCAACCCAAACATGAGTTATATTTTTCTCCAGACCCTCTCCTATTTTGAGTGACCCTCCCTCTGACCAACCCAATAATAAATTACCTGTCCCTGATTACTGGCAGTTCCTGATAATCTCATCATGTAAGAGATACTTGATTAGTCACTGGTAAAGTACAAACTTCATGAAATTCTCATCCTTAATTTGTTAACGCTTTACAACACTGGCATGTTAGCTTATGACTTTTGGCAACAGCTTCATCAGACTTCGGTCAGTATTGCTGGACTGTATTGCTAAGCAGGTATGTCCACACCCACAGTACGTGTCACCACATGCTGACAGCGGAGGTCCACCAGGGGATGTGTATTGTCAGGTGAGATCAAATGATGAGCAATCCCAGCGATGAAACATTCATTTTTCCATGAGACCTGCTTCCTTCATTTTGATGGTGAAGAACTTTTCCACTGAATTAGCACACTTGTAATACTCTGTGTCTGGTTCATTGTATGCTCTACAGTTTGTAAATATACGGGTCATGTCAGCAATGAATAGTTTCTTGTGACAATAGTATCTGTTCTTTAATCTGTCGGACATGGTCTTCAGATCTGTAACAGGAAGTGATGTCTGTGCAGTCAGAATAATATTCCTAAAAACCAAAGTAACTTATTAACAATCTAGCTCTTCAATTTACAAGTTACGGAAAAGTAAATGGATGGAAGGAAGGGCAGATGGACAACATGTCATGGTGTACATTCAACAAAACATGTCTATTGTATAGGTAATTCATCAATTACACTTGATAGAATAAGTTCAGAGATAAGAAGATATGCAGGGTTTTTTCTTACCCATAGGAAATTTGATATGATCGTAATAATCAGGAGCTTCGGACTTGTCCACTGGCCTCTGGAATGGCCAGGCTGAGCCATGGTTCTGGAAGCAGGAACAGTGCATGTTGTCATGGCTTCACACGAAGAACAATGTTCTAGCATCATGTTAGTCAATCTTTGAAATAGCCTCTTCCCAGAATAACACCAGTGATCTGTACATGGTTTTCTTAATTAACATATATCAACTGACTTGCACTACATGTATTTGTTTTCAAAGACCAAGAGGGGAAGTTTTGTAAACAAAAGGCTGACTGACTGAGTATGTTTTTATGTCATTTTTAGCAATATTCCAGCAATATCACGGCAGAAGACACCAGAAATGGGCTTAACAAATTGTACCCATGTTGGGAATCGAACCTGGGCCTTAACAAATCGTCGTGACGAGCGAACGCTTTAACCACTAGGCTACCCCACCTCCCCGTAAACAAAAGAAAACATTCTGTTATATTATCTTTGTCTTGCAGCGGTGTAACAATATGGTGGATCATAATACAATGTGTATCCAAATGGTAGTCCCAATGTAAGCAATATGATTAGCATCTTAACACAGTCTTCACATTTTATATAATGAAATTTTTTCTTTTTTCAGGTGAATCAAAACTCTGAATGACTTGTTTGGAACTTCTGGGATTGAAGATGGTATATTTTACAGTAAACACATACATGCAAGAGGGCATAGTGAATGTTCTCAACTAGGAAATCGTAGAGAATCTGAGTAAGCTGGTTGTTAAAGACTTTCTTTTTATTATTCACATGTTTTCACACCAATGTAAATTGTTTTGAAATGTGTGGTATCACAAAACCGGGCTTGTCAATCAATGTCTTGGTACTGTATTGGGATTCAATATGGTATGAATGTATTACACCACAATGGTATTGTATTGCATCAACATTTGAAACAAAACTGGTGGGGTACTGACCTTGATTTGCTGTAAAACAGTCTTGAAGGCATTGTACAACTGGTCAGGGTCAAGGGCATTGTCTTTACTGAAAGAAAATGATCACAAATGAAAAGCTGGGCAGCATCAAGAATGACACTAGTGACCTGTACATGGTTTTCTGAATTAACACAAATCAAGAACAGAGTAGTACTCAAAAACTAGTTAATTGACCACAGCTACTGTGAAACAGACCAATGTTGCTAAATCCCCTTACCATTTCTCCTTCTCCTTCTCTGGGCTGAAGGTTGGCTTCCAGCCAGACTCGTGGAGCCCAGGGATGCTCTCGATGGGGATCTGCCGCACTCCGTCCTTGAAGCAGGAGAGACCAGTGTAGATCTTCCTCAGCTGCTCCTGCTTCTTCTCCACAATCTGCTTGATGATCTGGAGAAGAGAAATGTGACGTTACAACTATAGAATCCACAGAGCACTTTCCAGAAGAATACCGTTTGTAACGTCTACATATATACACAGGACATTACTATACACAGGACAATTACTTTGTGATTCATGGGAAGAAAGACTAACCTGTACTTAAAATTCTGTCCAACCTGATTTGGAGCATTCATGATTGGAATACCACCAATAAATGGCATAACCTGTACTTATGGGCAATTCCTGTCCAACCTGTAACTGATTTGGAGCATGCATACTGATTTATTTGGAAGACTTGTACTGACAATGATGATTACCTATTATAATGCATTACCATGCATGCATTTCTGATAATTATGATGAGCACCACATGCTATCAGTAATGATTATGAAATGAGTACCACTGATTATGATAATGATTACCACTGATTATGATAATGATTACCACTGATTATGATAATGATTACCACTGATCATGATAATGAGTACCACTGATTATGATAATGATAAACAGTTTTATCACATGCCACAAATTTTCTCAGGGCAATGTAATAATGAAAGAAGAAACAGATGAGCACAACAGATGAGTCACCCACCTCTTTCTGTTTCCTGATAACCTGGGAGAACTCGGTGTACTTGATCCGGGGGTTGAGTTCACATCCCATCAGGGTGGCCCCCTCGTAGTCCTTGATGTATCCCAAGTACGCTGACTTTGGTAGTTTGATTTCTTTAGAGAAGCCCTGGATGTAAACAACAACAAGCAGAGTTTAGGATCTGGTTTAGGGATCCGTCACGGGTACCCATGTGTTCTGTTAATTGGCGGGAAGACTGGGAGTCTGTAATGAACAAGTTTAACTTTATACTCGCTGGCTTGTTTCCGTAATTGTTCAAGTTACAATGCTAAGGTTAACCTTCCGAGGGTTGATGACAGACTGGGTAGGGCAGATGCTGCTTTGTTGGCAATACACAGCGGCACTGCTCAATGAAGAAGATCGATTCTGTCGGCTCTTTGGAGCGGCAGACCACCTTCATTAAGCCATTACCGACTTGACGCGCATTCTAAGGATCGTGCACCGGTTAGGTCTTTGGTTCTCTCCAGTGGAAGTGTCCTGCCACCCTGACCAAGTTAGTAACTGGTCATTTGGTATCCGTTCTGTGCTCAGCGTCGAGTATATTTCATATCACTACATCATTATTAGCCTTACCACCCTTCGGGTTACGGGTGGGTTTTGGGTGTACGCATCGTCCGCTTACGTCCTCTTCAAGAGGGCGGGTCCGTGAATTGAGCAGCGCTTTAACCAGTCATAGGCTATTAACCCATCTTCGACGGAATTGGAGTTACGACCCCCGCGGGCACTGTTTGGTATGCCTCTTTGAGGCACGTCATGTCGCGTGACCAGGTTAGTGTAATGGTGTGAGCCAACGTATACGTTCGGGCTAAGCTTTTTGCTATTCAGGGGATTTTTATGCGCTTACAGTTTTTTTTTTTTCCCTCTTCCGAAGACTTCCGGTATTTGGGAGTCTGTGTTAATCAGCTTTGTGGGATGGTGGTCTACACTTATCCTCCCTCCGCGCCCGATAGTGTTTGGTTGGGGTGTTTTATCCTGTTTTTCACTTCATTACAATGCATGGCGTTTGTACTCGATTCGATTTCACTCAGAAAGATTTTAGCGAGGCTAATAATTTCTCTGGGTTTTATCGAGGTCCGCAAAGCTCTTCCAAACAGGAGGGTGCATTCGAGCATTAGTTTGCAGTACTTATTGGCTTCGACTCCTGGGTTATTGGCTTTTTAGTGTTTGTTTAAATTTTACTGGCTTTCCCTACCCTTATATACCTCTGCATACGCTTCTCTCTGGCTGGGGCTATATTAGAGTTAAGGAGTTTGTTTCGGCATGTCCCCATACATTTCCTTTTCATTGTAATGGATTGGGGTGGGGGTTTTATGTCATGATTCTGGTTTGAGCCAATTGACATATAAACTTGGGCTCTCTGGTTCACGCCCCGTTTGATTGGCATCCAGCCAGTGCAGGTGGCTCGGTAAGTGTTTTTCTATTTCCGTATCGGTTGTAGATTTCACTCCACCCGGGTTTAGTTTTGCCAGACAGAATGTTCACTCCGATCTCAAATATCTTTGGGGAGTCTGTCTTATGCTTATATGTGTTCTGCTGAGGACTTCTTCTGAAAAAAAGAATTATACAAACCTGTAGGAAGTTATGAATTCTTTGAAGAAAAGTCCCTCCTTTGGGTACTGACTCCCTCCCGCCTCCCTCATTCTGTCTGACACTGCGTTCAGCATCTGGTTTAGTTTGTTGTTTAACTCCACACTCAGATATACTCCAGCTATTTGACAGTGGCCAGTGGTCTCTGAATACATCCAGTGATTGATCTTGTGAACAGTTATCCACATCTACAGGCTATGATGATTAGCAATCAACCACTTCACTAAGCCTGACCACAAATTCCATTATCCCACCTCCTAAGACCAGTATAGCCTATCTGGGACCTGTTTTAATCCAGAATCCCCAAGCATAGAAACCAAAAATCATGAATGCAAATTTTACATCTATTTAGATGACATGCCAATCGGTTTGATGCAAAGTTCTTGATGTCTGGTTATTAGTTACTAGCCCACCTGACATTATGATAAACAGCTGAATAACATTGCAGCCTACCTGTTTCTTGAAGTATCCTATGGCATACTCATCAGCGAATGTGAGGAAGTGACAGATGTTGTGTTTGATGTGGTAGTCCTTCAGATGGTTCATCAGATGTGTTCCATAACCCTGAAAACAATTAACATGATAAATCTTTGAATACAGGGTCATTTTAAGACATCTTCGTCATACTTCTAAGCGAGCGAGTTGGGTTCAATACCACAGCATTCCAGTCATGTCATGGACCCAAAGTGATGCAGGTCTTCACACATCACCTAGGAGAACTTGGGTATGATGCTGCCAAACCAAGAACCATCATCATCATCATCATGAAGAACTGAGGAACTGAACCCATGATTATAGGATTCTCACATGCAACAATGCATATGCCTGCTTTAAGAGAACACATCACTACTAATTCTGTATGGCATGAATAATCTCTTCTCTTCTGAAAAAGCGATTTCTATTTTAAGGGACCATACATAATTTATGGCTTAAGGGGTGATGATGATTTTTATGGAGAAGCATGTACAATGTGAACACACACACACACACACCCAAAAAAAAAATTTATGTACAAAGTAAGTGATCCCCCCTGCATGTCATGTACAAACTCAATTACCCCCCTCCCCATATTTTTTAAGCATAATCTTTTAATATTTGTTTTATGTACAAAATTGTCTACAAGATTGATGCCCCCTACTACCTCCCCAGAACAAAATGGATGACCCCTCTTAAAATCATCATCACCACACCCTAGTCTTAAATTGTGAATGGCCCCTTACAGCCCCTGCGTGCAGTTAATCTAAGTTATATATCACACAGTAAGTATTTTCATGATATGTAGCAGCATTCAGAAGTTAATGTGTAACTAATGACAAGATAGTATGTAAACAATTCTTTATTACAATTGTATAATCAGTTTGGTCACTTCAATCACTTCCTCACAACTTACAACAAACAGCATGCTTAGAAACTGCATCAAAACATCACAGTAACTGTAATTACAGAAGTGTGTTATTCATACAATCTTGTCAGAAGTTAATTAAGCATATTGCACTAGAATCACTGAGTAAAATATTTGATAATCATTTCTACAGAGGTTTCAGTAACATAACTGAAGGAAATTTGATTGTTCAAACATTATAATGCTTGCTCTGTTGACCTTGACCTTTTAGTAAGACTACCTTGACCTACTCACCTTGACCTGTTCATTAGATGTCACAGCACAGAATACAATCTCTGTGAACCCCTGGGTAGGAAACATCCGGAAGCAGATCCCACCTATGACTCGCTTGTCTTTTATCAGAGATAAACATTTGTGTTTCCTGAAAATCAAACAAAGATCAAGGGATATTATAAAACCTCGATCATCTGATACAATGTGTGCCATCTGATAAAGTACAAACAATATATGTTTGTTGTTTAATGCTGCACTCAGCAATATTCCAGCTACATGAGGGTGGTCTGTAACTAATCAAGTCTGGACCAGACAACCCAGTGATCAACATCGAGCATCGATCTACGCAATTAGGACGACATGTGTCAACCAAATCAGCAACCCCGACTACCTGATCCCGTTAGTCAACTCTTACGACAAACATGGGTTGCTGGAAACCAATTCTAACCCCGAACTTTACAGGTTTGTGTAATCTAGGTACGTCTTAATCGTGTTAAGGGTAACATATACATCTTCATTGCATGTGACCACCAAGGTACCCCCAAGACCACAATATCCACTCAGAATGCAAAACGTTTTGTTTAATACAACACAGGGCAGCATTATGATAGGTAGACAGTCATCAACCACTCACGGATCAAACACAAGTCTCGTGATGTACTCCTTGGGCATCCTAGGCAGCTGGTGTGAGAAGACGTTCTGTAGACCAATCAGCCACATGTAGATCTGTTTAGTGGGCTTCTGGCTGAGAGAGTTGCCAATGACATGGAAGTTGATCACCCCCTTGTTCTCCTCCTGTCGTGCTGCCTCGTCCCGGGCCGTGTGGGTTGGGAACAGAGTTGGCTGGATCAGATAAATGACAACTGAATATTTCGTAACAAACAACTTCATCACAGTGTCAAAATCACATGAGTTTTTATTTGTTGATTGCATTCTACCACAGTCAGCAATATCCCATCTATACCATGGAAGGCTTTAGAGGTGAGGTGAAATTGGGTTTAACGTCGTGCTTGAGAATATTTCGCTCATATGACGACGTGCATGCGTGTGTATGTGTATGTGCGGCTGCTTGTACTAGCCCAGACTTAAGCTGGTTTTATAGTGCTAGCCCACTGAGATACCATGCCGCAGTGAAGCATGAATACCCCACTCAGACACATTATACTGACTCTGAGCCGACCAGTCCTTGTTGTACCCATTAATGCCGAACGCCAGGCAGGGACCAACAAGTACCATATTTTAACGTCTTTTGGTATGACGCGGTCGGGGATCGAACCCGCGACCTTGGAAGGCTTTAGATAAACAAGTGTTTGATATCATGAGCAACACCCCACTCCGTCAGTGTAAAATGAATTGCATTCAACCGAATGTCCCTGATCATCTTCTATGACCAGGATACTTTTATCATAACTCAGAATGACCACTTGGAAGAGATGTCACATCAGAAACTATGACATCATAATAATGTCCATTACAAGCAGGCTTGACTGTAACAAGATAGGATCTGGTCAATCAAACAGATATATTCTGTACAAGAGTATTGATAAACTAGAGGCCGTAGCATCAATGAAAAGAGGAAGACAATATTGATTTCAAAACACAACAGAAATTAATCAAAAACTAGGCGAAATTGGTTAGTCAATCCTGTCTCTGTAAGCTGCAATGTCCTTTCTCTATAAATCTCAAATTCACACTCCTGCAGTTGTTGAGCTGACCTATATTGTGATCAGCTTACAATTTTAGCATCATGCTGTCAGTACAATTTGATCCAAAGCATGAAACATCCTACTTACATCAGGTCCAACCATCTGAGCAGGATCTGTAATGGTGGCCAGTATTTCAGCGACTGTGTCTGATGCGACATCGCCTTCAATCTTCTTCCTCTTCAGTTCGTCTGCCAGCAGACTATCCTCATGTTTCCTCTTCTCCCCTGTTTGACCTGCACAACATACAATTACATCATCCATATCATCTTTACCACTTGCCAATTCCACCAGACTTGGGGATCTATTCAGGGTCAGTTAGGTTATAACAGAAAGTCACTATTATGTGTGGTTAATCACTAAAGAAATGTCCATACTATGCACCCATGGTGATCATCCAATCCTCATTCAAAAGCCCCCTTTGAGTGAGCAGTGACTATAAGTTTATGCTATAGTCAGAAATATCACAATGACCTTGGACAGATGAATCACTGGCTGATCGCATGAGCATCAATGTCAGGTTTTGAAATCAAATACTCAGCCCCTATAATGCCCTACAATCCCCTTCAGTGAGTGAGTGAATTTAGTTTTACGACGCGACTCAGCAATATTCCAGCTATATGGTGGCAGTCTGTAAATAATCGAGTCTGGACCAGACAATCCAGTGATCAACAGCATGAGCATCAATCTACGCAATTAGGACACGATGACATGTGTCAACCAAGTCAGTGAGCTTGACCACCCAATCCCATTAGTCGCCTCTTACGACAAGAATGGGTCATGAAGATCATTTCTAACCCGGATCTTCACAGGTCTCCCCTTCAGGATCATCTCCGACAACAAGGACAGCTATTCCCTAGGATGAGCATCACATGTAGGATTACCTGGTTCAGTTTTGGAGGGCCTTCTTGGTGTGATGAGACCTGGTGTGATGTTGATGGATGTGAAGCCTTCAGGCCCCGGGCCAGTGGAGTTGGTGCCGGTTGTGAAACGGTTGTAGCCACTGACCCCTGGTGCTGAGGATGGTGTTGCTGAAATTTCATCTACACCAAATGTCATAGATATAAAGACTGCATATAGTATGACTAGCAAACTGAATTCAAAACTGCATCTCATTCAAACTATATAATCATAACATGAAACTACAAAGTAATACAAACTGATTAATTTAACTAAATGAGTGAGTATGATTTATGCCTCTTTGAGCAATATTTCTGCAATATCACGGTGGATGACACCAGAAATGGGCTTCACAAAATGCACTCATTTGAAGAATTAAACCAGGGCCTTTCACATGACAAGAGAATGCTTCTACTACTAGACACAGTACTTCTGTCCCATTCAAACAATCACATTCAAACAAACATACACAGTGTTTCACTTTGCTGGGGGGACAGAATCCCCTCATTCTAGCCATCACAAATGCACACTGTAAGGGGAAACCCCTACAAAGATAAAAGGGTTAGGTAACAACAGCTACAGGTTAAATCCAATTTCATTAAAATCATTCCTTTTTCCTCTGTGAATACTTAGGACAGAGAACACACGAATTCTTATCATGCATGTTTCAACATAAGTACAAAGTAGTAAATTGTGAGAAAGTTTTCCAGGATGTTGAACAACATGAGGATCCTCTTACTTGGTAGCGGTGTTGGAGATATTGGGATGTTAGCTGGGTTCTGGGAGAAGTCTGGATCCCATATCGGGAACTGGAGCCATACACTTCCTCCTCAAGCATAGACAGAAACCTGCAACAAGACACAGCTATAATCTCACAGTTTGGTGATGCCTTCACTTGATGCTTCAGCCCAATTAACACTTGATGGTGACTCACACTGATTTGTGAAAACATGTTTGTAAACAGACGAATTAAGTGAAACATGGTCAGTTCTGTCAGATTAAGTGTAGCACGCCTCAACTTAACATAACCAAATGAGATGACCAGCCAAAGTATATCCTAAACATAGCCATTAAACATTTACACTTCGATCGATTTTGACCACGCTAGACCTTTAAATAATATATGCATAGAGAACAGTGTGATACAACATGAAATTTGTCCTTTTGATTATAGAAACTGGAATTTCTCCCAAACATGGTCCGATGTATACTTTCTGCAAATAAGACTAAGAATTGTAAATGACAAAACTATTTTCTGCATTTAGCTAACAAAGTTGGCTTATATTCAACAGATCTAACTTGTTCGACTACCAGAGTGAAGATCCAGATTAAACTTGGTGCAACCCATACCAGTTTTAACATATAACTAACAGGACTTGGGGGTCAGGCTAACTGACTTGGATGAAGCATGTGACTGTTTCCACTGATGTCGATCACTGGATTGTTTAGTCCAGACTCATTTTTTTTTTATAGAAGCCCATAACAGAAAATGACAACTCACCTGGGGAAATGGGTGAGAACGAGAGTCTTTTTGTCAGGGGGCATTTTGTCTTTCTCAGCTCGGAACTTGTCCAGGAGTTGTCTCCTCATGGTTTGGAAGACAGACCTCAGCAGAGTGCGACCGAAGATCAGAGTAGTCTCATACCTTGGCAGACTGTCGCAGAACGCTGGTACATGGCAGTAGCACAGCCACCTATAGGGGTAAAGTATCAGATATGTAAAACAATGAAACAGATGTGGTATGTTGACAGTAAAGCATGAACTTTGTGTAATAAGTCTGTTGCACAACAAAGTCTGAGTTCTAAATTGATCGTTCACAAATTAGAATGAAAAGATTAAGTCACAAACTTGGGTGCAGACAGACAATAATTCTAACCAGTTACAGGAACTCAGCATGTTCTGATGATCGGTATTTATTGTAATTAAGTAAGTTCGATAATCATGATAACGGGGCGGATTCTAACGAACACAAATCTTCAGAGCAAGTTTTTGAACCTCTGTTCACTCGTCATAAAATATTTTGTATCACACAGGAATTTACCTAGGTATCCAAACTAAGTACCCTTAGCTGACCATTTGTGAAAAACCCAGGTTTCAAAACTGGATATATATTCAATGTGCTTATTTTCCTAAATCCTGAGAAACTGGAAATTGAAAATTTTAATATAAATTGTATATTTATATACTTATCCTATCTCATGACTTGCACCCCTCTCTCTCGCTTCGACTTTTAGTGGAACGACTGTAAACTTTTTTCCATAGGCCTGCTTGTCCATTCGCCCGTGCACTCCATGCTGTTCTCCTTACTTAGCTTCCTAGTTCCTAATGAAGCTTGCAGCATGTTCCACTAATTGCCCACGTGACTACCTTGAATGATCATTCTCATCTTGGAGCCAACATTGTAAACTGAGTAGTGGGGAGGCCGGGAGGGCATCCATCGCGTGAGATAGGATAAGTATAAAATTTACAATTTATATTAAAATTTTTAATTTTTAAACTTATCCTATCTCATGACTTGCACTTATCCCATGGTTGGACGGCGGGACGCAGATTACCCTTCTGTCTGGACAGTGCGAACAGCTGGTCTTGGAGCTGTGTGGACTGATGACAACCCTAGATAGCGATGTACAAGGGAGGCCTGTCACTTATGCACGCACCTCCTATGCTTGTTGTGGGTTCTCCAGAAGCCCTTGGCTTACTAAGCACAATGACTCCCAGGGAGATGGGTGCTCCCGAGCGATGTGGTGTTCGGCCGCAACCTTGTACAAGACAAAGGACGCAACTCAGCAAGTAGGCCTCGCCTCGCCATGATTTACAAGGTACCCCCTTAATTAAAGTCTTGCGACTAGAATCGGGCCAGCCCCTGCTTCAAGAAGGTCCCCCAGACACCGACCGAGGCAGGTGAAAGAGAAACACAACTCGGCATCTCCAAGTTTTAACGTTCAGTTCCGGGCAGCATCAAATTGACCCTCACTCCTTTGCCTAAGCTTAGTCAAAGGATGTGCCCGGCAACTTCGGAGGCAGAAATCCACTGGAATTTGGGATTGTCACACTTCACTGACGTAATTGCTCAGTGGAGTATAGGTCAGTAAGCGTGAATGTCGAACACCTCTGCATCGTCATACTGATTGTGCCTCAGTTCCGTAGGGCAACGCTAGGTGGCCGTATTCCGATGCCTTGGTATGGAGGCCAAGTGAAGTAGTTCTTAAACCAATATAATGAGAACAAAAGGTTGAGATCCAGTTCAACTTTTATTCAGTATATACAAGGAAGCAGTAACGCGAATGCGGAACCGTCCCTCATCTGTGTTGTTGGGACGATGTAAGCTGCTGAGCCAGTACAAGAGGTCTGAACTGGTGTAGTCTCTGGACATCCGTGACAGACAGGCCTCGCAGGTAATGTGAAGAGAAGACTGTATCAGAACGCCAGAAGCAACCTTCCATGATAGCGGTCAAGGAGCAGTTGCTATGGAGGGCCTTCGTTGAGGCTAGTGCACGAGTCTCATGAGGATTGGAAGCGGCTGAAGGAGGCAACCCTACAAAGGTGTAGGCTCACAGGATCGTGGCACGCATCCAGAAGGCCAATGTGGTCCGGGAAACATCAGTTCTTGAAGTGGTCAACAAGGGTATGAAGAGGCGTTTCCGTAGCCATCGACGATCTTTGGAGGCAGCAAGGTAAACATGTAGAGCCTTAACAGGGCAGAGTGTCAAATCTTCATTATCATCAGGCACAAGAATGGTGGTCAACAGGGGGAATGGTAAACATCCAGCTCCGGTTGCCCTGGCAGTTGGTTTTCGCAATGAAGTCCCAGCGGAGACCCAGCAAAGCCTTGCCATGCTTCTTCCGCTCGAACCGTACCCGATTGACATCAAGCGCATGCAGTTCAGATATACTAGCAGCGGTAGCCAAAGCTACCAGGAAGAATGTCTTGAATGTCACTTGTTCGAAGTCCTTGTCTTCTAAAGGTTCATAGTCTGTAGAAATCATATGACGAAGGACGACGGACAGATCCCAGGACAGAGGTCTGAACTTCCTGGACTGGTCAGAGAGTCTATAGGAGCGTAGTAGACTCTGCAACTCGGGACCAGTGGAAATCAGCCAAAACTGAGTTGATGGCGGCTAAGTAGGTAGCTAATGTAGTAACCTTGAGTTTCTTAATAGTGCGGAGATGCTGGAGAAACTCACCAACGACCTGAGCAGAGGTGGAAGTGGGAGATGCAATTCCCCATACCTTGAAATAGTCTTCAAACTTCTTTCACTTGTGGCCGTACAAGGAACGAGGCGAAGTACGATGCACTGAAGTGATAGCTGTGGCCACTCAGCGAGAGTAACCCTTAGCAATGAGAGATCTCTGAAGATGCGCCAAACGTGTAGATTGAGGGTCTGAGGTGACCCCTGGTGCAGTTCCGAGTGAGGGTAAAGAAGTAGCTCGTCCCGGTAGGGAAGCGGTACTGGGTTTGGCTCTGCCAGGCTTCTTAGGTTGATGAACCAACTTCTCGCTGGCCAGAAGGGTGCGACCAAAAGCAGTAGTATGTTGTTGGCGGCCAATAGTTTCTGTATTACTTTGGTAGCAGAGCTGGAGGGAGGAACGCGTAGGCACTGAGACCCTCCCATGATATTGCCAGCGCGTCGAGGTCCCAAGCCATGGAGTCTGGGATTGGTGATACAAACTTTGGAAGTTGGTTGTTGACCCTTGTGGCGAACGATATATTTGAGGCTGTGATAACGGGTAGATCATCGACTGAAAGATCTGGGGCAGTAACTTCCACTCTGTCGGGGACGGTCGGTTGGATCGGGACAAGGCATCGGCAATCACATTTTTCACCCCGGGAATGTGTCTGGCTCTGGTTACGATGTTGAGTGAGTCGATGAGATGGAAGAACCTGATCGCCCATTGTAGCCGAGGCTGTCGAGCCTAGATGATTTATATACCAAACCACTGTTGAATTGTCTGATTGGATCAACAGACTGGTTGATTGAAGCTCTGTTGCCCAATGTGAGATGGTTTGAATTACCACCTTGAATTCCAGCTCGTTTATATGAAGTACCCGTTCGTCAGATGACCACAGCCCAGACACTTGATGGTCGAGGAAGTGAGCTCCCCAGCCCATGAGGGATGCATCGACGAATAGGTGATGAGTCGGTGAAAAGGGCATCATAGAGACTCCGGTGCAAACATTCCGTTCGTCGAGCCACCACTGAAGGACTGACGAAGCAGTTCTGGAAGGCAAATCAGTTTCTGGGGGTTGTCAGCCTGAAGGTATGGGCGTAGAAATCGCTGTATCGGCCGAAGTTGGAGCTGGCCTCTGTACGTTAAGGCTTGAGCTGACGTCAGAAGGCCCAGTAGCTCCTGCCACTGTCGTAATGTTCTCGCCTGAGACAATGCTGGAGGAATGCATCGCTGAATCTTTATCCACCTGTCGTGAGGGACGAACATCATCCCCTGACGAGTGTCGAACAGTGCTCCGATGAATCGGAGACTCTGAGTCGGTATTAGTTCCAATTTCGCGATGTTCAACAGCCACCTTAACTGTCTGAGAAGCGTGGTGGTGAACTGTAGCTGGCGAAGCAATATGATCGGATCCTGTTGAGCCTGGATGCAATCGTCTATGTAGCTTTCGAAGGTGATCCCTTGAAAGTGGAGGAAGCTTGTTATGGGCTTGTTAATTCGGGTAAAAAGCCACGGGGCCGTGAAAATGCCAAATGGTAGGACTTTCCATTGGTAGTGATCCCGTTGAACACAAAGCGAAGGTACTTCCGGTGTTCTGGATGTATCGGAACGTGAAGGTGAGGTGAGGTGAAATTGGGTTTAACGTCGTGCTTGAGAATATTTCTCTCATATGACGACGTGCATGCGTGTGTATGTGTATGTGCGGCTGCTTGTACTAGCCCAGACTTAAGCTGGTTTTATAGGGCTAGCCCACTGAGATACCATGCCACAGTGAAGCATGAATACCCCACACAGACACATTATACTGACTCCGAGCCGACCAGTCCTTGTTGTACCCATTAATTCCGAGCGCCAGGCAGGGATCAACAAGTACCATATTTTAACGTCTTTTGGTATGACGTGGTCGGGGATCGAACCCACGACCTTCAGCTCTCCGGGCGGACGCTCTAACAACTACACCACGGAGGCGGTCCGGAACGAGAAGATAAGCATCCTGAAGATCTAGGCTGTTAAGGAGGTCTCCCTTCTTCAGGATGGTGCATAAAAGGATGGTGCATAAAAGGTTGATCGACACCATCCTGAAGTGAGGCGGTGGAAGCAGGAACCGGGCATTGAACAACTTCATATTGAAGATGAGCCGGAGTTTGTTGGAATTTTTCTTTGAAACCAAGAAGATGGGGGAGTGACAGGGGAATCCTGGAGTGACGGGCGATGGACCTAGGAGCTCTATCGCGAGTTTGTCTAATAGCGTACCTATTGTGGATTGCAGAGTCTGAAGCTGGTCCACAGGATATTAGCGATGAGCCGGATGCGACGTCAAAGGCGGACTGCCAATAACAGGTAGCTGGTAGCCGTGAAGTAGCAGGTTGGTGACGTACGGATCTCTGAGGATGGTCCAATTCGGGGCGAAGATCTGTAATCTCCCGCCTAGCAGAATGTTGTAAATCAGAACGACTGGGGACAGGGGCTCAACGGGAGGAACCACCACGGCCAGATCTATTTCCTCTGCCACGGCCTTGAGTGTAGCGTCACGAAAAAATTTGCATAAATCCGGATTGGTAGGGGTGAACTGTGCAGTTCAACACTGTTTTAATAAGTCCTGGAGCTGTGACTTCTGTATCTTTAATAGTTCAATCGAGACTTGAGTGGATTTCTTTATCAACTTTAGTAGATACTTCTTGGATGCTGCCACTGAAGAGGGTGTCAGTAAGCCATGGCTGGCTAAACAGTTCTATTTTAAATCGCTCCTCCCATGAAGAGATGTTAAGGGGTCCATGTCGGCGAACAGCAAGAGTGTAGCCCAAAAAATGAGACAACTGATCCAGGTTAATTTGGAACTGGTCCAGAGTCATGCATCCTCAGATGTAAGCATCTTGATCAGAGTAAGTATGCTCCAGAGCAGAGTGAAGAGCATCGACTGCTGCAATCACGTAACTAATAGATGGCAACGACTTTCTCACGGCTGAATCATGTGAGCCAACTCTCGGTCCTCAATAAGGTGGGGCGAAGCAGCTCGTTTGCCACACAGGGTTCCAATATCCTCATCAACTGTTGGAGCCGTAGAGATTTTTGTTACGCCGTGGACATGAGCGGTAGAAGGATTATATTTGGGAGCAGAGAATCCGTCCTTAATTCGTTTCAGGCTCTTGAAACCATCATTTAGTGTACTGGATAATTTCAGAATACAAGGTCGAGGTGGTAGGGTGATGGTAGACCAATCCCGGTTCCTAAGAGTATAAGAGTGATCCACGTCATCTGCTGAAGTACTCAAGGGAAGTTAGAGCTTTTAAAATCCAAACGAGTACCTGAGCTGTCTCAACTGCTGCAAAGCTATCCCCAGGGGTAGATAACTCAGAGTGAGCGGGAGATGCAGGCATGACTATTTGGACTGGATCAATGTCAGGAGGTGGACCAGATGAAGAGCCAGGTGCTACCGAAGCCAGATGGGCTGGAGTAGAAGGCTGTATTTGGTTCCAGGCTGAGGTTATGGCCTGATCATCATATTTAGATCCGGAGTTGCTGTAGGAGTGAGATTGTGATCATGTTCCCATTATTCAGCGATGATCCTAGAGTGAGTCGAAGGATTCTCAGAGCGTGTAGGCGGAATATCGTAAGAAACTGTAGGCCTATTAGTGGTATCAGAGCAATGATCACCCGTCGTCGGTCAGAGGAACTGTATCGAGATCTCGACGTGGTAAGTACCGAAGTAGGTTGGTAAACCAGTGATCTCGATTCCCTAGTATGGCTAGGTGATCTGGTATGATATGAAGAACTAGTCCGGGGCACTGTAGTTCTAGTTGGTGATCTGGTTCTGATTGGAGCTCTGGTTCGACCATCTGAATAGGATCGGCCATGAGATGTGGATCTGTATTGTGATCCCGATTGGTCAATGGCTCTGTAAGGTGATCTAGATCATATAGGTGACCTGGGTCGGTAAGATGATCTGGATTTGTAAAGTGATCTGGATCGATTCGATGCACTAACTGGAAACTGCGATCGTGATCTGTAAAGTGATCTGGATCGAACAGGTGATCTGGTTTGCAGTTGCGATCTGGCTTGATTTGGTGATCTGGATCGATAAGGTGATCTACTTCGATGTTGTGATCTGGATCGGTTAGGTGATCTGGATCAGTCTGGCGATCTACTTCGATGTTGTGATCTGGATCGGTTCGGTGATCTGGATCGGTCCGTTGATCTGATTCAAAGTTGTGACCTGGACCCGTTTGGTGATCTGGACCGGTTAAGTGATCTGGATTGATCAGGTGATGTGGATCGTAGTTGTGCTCTGGATTGTGACTGTGATCTGGATCGGCATGGTGATTTAGATCGTGAAGGTGATCTAGATCGTTGTGGTGATCTGGATCACGATTAAGTGACGAAACTCGAAGTGTTGATTCATGATGAACGTACCCTGGAGACGCTGTAGTACCCAGCTCCATTCGGTTCAATGATCTGTGGGGGGACAGTTGGCTGGTTGAACGCGGTTGGCCAGGCTCCAAACAAACTGAGACTGTCGAGGGGATATGTACCGATGATCTGGAAGATGATAGTGTCGATCTAAGGTACCCTGGTAGTGTAGATGGGACAGGCAACGATGGATTATCAATCACAACCACCCGCGAGTGATGTGACGCTATGGAAGGAGGTGATTTATGCGCATGTAATAGGTGCCGAACGTCCTCAGATAAGTAAGAATCTGTTGTGTCAATAAAATCCTCTTGAACCACAGACGTCGCTTTCTTGCGTGAAGGTACGATTCTGTCGCTGTAACTTGATAGGCTTGGCGGGAGTGGGATCAGATTCTGTTGATTTCTTGTTCCAATCGGCGATTCTCTGGGAGCAAACATGAAGGTAGGCCTTAAAATCTCCTCATCTTTTAGTGAATTACACTTGCCACATCGTTAGTTCCAGTTACATTGTCCAATACAGTCACTGCAAGACGAGTGAGGGTCAAGGCACATAATTCATCTTGCATTGAGAACAAACTTTCCTTTTCCTTGACTGATTATCTGTTTTCCCCATGATGTTAGGGTGAAATAATGTCCCTAATATACAGCATGTCCACACAGTCATGCGACAAGAAAGAGAATGATCATTCAAGGTAGTCATGTGGGCAATTAGTGGAACATGCTGCAAGCTTCATTCGGAACTAGGAAGCTAATTAGGGAGAGCAGCATAGAGTGCACGGGAGAATGGACAAGGAGGCCTATGGAAAAAGTTTACAGTCGTTCCACTAAAAGTCGAAGCGAGAGAGAGAGGTGCAAGTCGTGAGATAGGTTAAGTTTTAAAATGTTTATATTCAAACTGAGACTTATTAATGACATATACTGACATATCACCTGCATCACTGTGTCCGTTGGTCAAATACCCACCTTGTGTAGTTGACCTTGTAGGCATTCATGTCCTCAGTCCCAGCATGCTGAGCCCGACTAGCTGGCGTCTCTAACTTCCAGTGATTCAGACAGTGCAAAAACATTTTGGCCAGATCATACATTGTCTGCCATTCCTTTTGAGCAAGGTGGCCAAACTTGTACACCACAAAGTTAGTAACACCCTGCAATAGATATCAATAACACCTACAGATTAAATGGGTTGTATACAATAGTAGGAGACATTTCAGTTATTCATGATGAACAAGTAATTATAACTATTTATCCTCTTTGATAAACACAACAATGATGATGAAGCCACATAATTCAGGTTTAAATCATCAATCATAAGAAGCATGTAACACAGTGGACTTGTTTTGTTCCAAAAATTATTGGGACGACCAGCATACCATAATTATGTGATGAGACTAAGAGTACAATCAAACATGTCACAATGATCAGACTTCTAAACATGAAAAGAATGTTTTCATTACAGAACTTTCAATGTCAAGTAATGTTTTCATTGCATTCAGCAGTTTTGGACATTAACGTAACATGTGACTGGTATTAGTTTACGCAGCTTCTAGCAATATTCCAGCCATATCACGACAGGAGACACCAGAAATGGGCTTCACACATTGTACCCATGTGGGGAATCGAACCTGGGTCTTCGGCATGTGACATTGTGTAATGTAGAAGCCTTTATGAAATATGATCATATTTCTCAAGCATACCTTTGCAATACTTGGTTTTTCAAATGGAGGATTTCCTAAGGGCCCCTCTATTGTGGGGTTGCTCATGTTCAGGATACATTTCCGCAGAAGCTGAAATACAAACACCAATGTTAAATATAGTTTGTTGATATCTACAGTAGTTGGCCATAAGTGAGTCATCACTAGTGAAATTCCCATAGACTTGCATGTTTGTAAACTCTTGCAAGAATAATTTTCATAAATTTAGTTTCGGTCAAATTGCTTTCAATACTTATCTACCAGCTGGGAAATCATCTCAACTATTTACAACATAATTTCCATTCATTTTCCAATGATTATTAAAAAAACTGCAGCTATTTAAACAACATATATTGGACATACCAATCAGGTTTAACAGGGCTGTCTTTGGGTTAGATTAAAAGTTGTACCTATACATGCATCCAAGATAATCTCCAGGGTATACGTTAGTATTGGGAATTGGTTCAAATCTCACAATTGATGATTGCTTCATTACCAACGAACAATCATCGAAAAATATTGGTTAGCGTCATTTTTCAGATTTTCCTATCCAGGTTGTTATTGCAGATATGTATAACATGATGCAACTTGCTACTTTAAAGTGATGACTAATATATCATGACCATAAACTTCCTTGAGTCTTAGAGAAATATTCAGTCATGGCTTTTCACTTAGTGAAGTGAGTTTTCTAAGAATTAAATGTAATTTTCTGACTAAAATTGATATTTTATACTTATCCTGACTCATGCAAATTATGCTTGTCTCCTTCTCCTTGCAAATGATAGTGGAACACTTGAAATCCCTTGAAGTTCCCTTCTAAAAAAGCGGATGTAAAATCACTACTCACCCAGGAGTTGCCTCCTTTGCCCCTTTGGCACCCTTTTGGTCACCAGACCAACCATGCCTTCTCACTCTCTCCGTACGAATGCCCAACACCCGGATTTACAGGGAAATCCAGAGTGCCATAAGAGGGAGGTTGGGAGGGCTAACCTCATGAGTCAGGATAAGTATAAAATATCAATTTTAGTCAGAAAATTACATATTTTTTCCTTATCCTGACTCATGCTCATTATGCTTGCAGAATCCGTCGGAAACGGTGGTGGGTCAGGCCACGTTCTGGATTCACTGGTTGTTGATTTACATCCTGTATTACCCCCCATGGGAACTTATGACGGCACTGTTGAAGATTCTGGGGGGAACCACAACTTGTCAGATTTCTTCCGAAACTCCTCCTGACATTTTCGTGTGGATTTAGATATACTAATATTCCATTAGTTATCTATTGCAACTCAATCTCTTGATGTGCGCATCAAGTGGAGATGCGACCCTTCTTCATGTACGAGTATGTCCTATACAAGTACAGGGTCTATCACTCATGCTAGTCTGTCCTAGACATGTGCATGGACTTATAGCCATTGCTCTCCAGAGTGTTGGTTTTCACAAATCCCATCTCAGTCCAAGATGTACGATGTCACGATGTCTTGATTCAAATCATGTTCGTTCAAAGTCCAGAGCATGTATTTCTGACATCCGTGCAGTTGTTGCTAGGGCGATCAGGAACAGCGTTTTCTGAGTTAGTAGTTCAAAGGATGTCCGTTCTAGAGGCTCGTAGGCATCACTGGTGAGATGTTGTAGAACTATGTTGAGATCCCAGGCAGGAACCTTAAATTTCTTTTGTTGGTCTTCCAACTTGAACGAGCGTAGTAGTGCCAGAATCTCTGGTACTTTGGTCAGCTTGATACCCGTTTTCATGGTGATAACTGTACTGAGGGCAGCCAAGTAAGTTGAGAGTGTTGAACCTTTTAAGTGTCTCGTCTGTCATATTCCGCCACTTGAGGATGTGTTGCTTTCACCGCTGTAAAGCCTTTCCTCTTTGCATACTGTTCAAATCTCTGCCACTTGTCATCGTACAAGTTGCGAGTTGATCTGCGTAGTGCTAGTGTAACTGCTTTTGCTGCTCTGGCGGAGTACCCTCTGGTCTTCACGCGTGTAGCTGGAACAGTGTCGGGTTCCCGTAAGCTTGCTTGGTGTGTGGATGGACGAGTAGGTTCGACCACTCTGGTAGTTTCAGAGTTGGACTTCCGAGTTCTTGTATGAGGACGGGAAACCATACCCTCGCTGGCCAATAGGGCGCGACCAAAATCAGTTGCAACGTAGTCGTCTGCTTGATTTTCTGTAGTACTTGTGGTAGCAGTGCAGGAGGTGGAAACGCGTAAGCGTTTAGTCCTTCCTATGAGATGCTTAGAGCGTCTGTTGCCCATGCCTGAGGATCTTGAATCGGTGAGACGAATGTTGGTAGCTGTTTGTTGAACTTTGTTGCAAACAGGTCTATTAGTGGGGATCCTATAGTCTGTATGATGAACTGGAATGCTTCTGGATGCAACATCCATTCCGTCGAGGATGGTTGTAGTGGACGAGATAGGGCGTCTGCTATGACAGTCTTGGCTCCTGGAATGTGGCATGCCTTCATGTAGATGTTCAGGTCGTCGACGATGCTGAACAGGAGAAAGCTGAGTTGTAGCAGACTTGTTGATCTTGTTGACCCTTGTTTGTTGATGTAATACGCCACTGTGGAGTTGTCCGTGTGTACCATGAGTCGTGCTTTCTTTAGTATGCTGGACCAATGTTGTAAAGCATTGATTACTGCTTTCATCTTCAACAGATTGATGTGTGACTTCCGATCCTGACTCGACCACTTCCTAGCTGCCACTTCGTTGTTGAAGTGCGCACCCCATCCTTGTAGGGAGGCATCCACGTAGAGATGAGTGTTGCAAACCGTCTCTGTCAAAAAGGTTCCTCCGCAAACATTCGACTTCCAAGTCCACCATAGGAGATATGGTTTCAAGCTGTCCGGTAGTATTTCAGATCTAGGCTGTCTAGGTGGGCATTCACAAATACTTGTAGTGGGCGCAACTGTAGTCTACCTCAGCGAGTAATGTCTTGAGCTGAGGTGAGTAGACCGAGCATGCTTTGCCAAGCACGTATTGTCAACGGAGAGAGCATTGCTTGAGATATTATCTGTTATTCTCTAGGTCTTCGTGAAGGTGGGTTTTTGGACGTAGCTTCCCCTCTGTAGGAGTGCCTTCGCGCAGGTTCTCGATGGGTGTCAGAGTCCGATGGAGATGAAGACTCATATCTGCGACGTCTGTGGGGTTCAGGAGAATGCCTCGATTTCTTCCTGCGTGGAGACGTCTTAGCAGCAATATCTGGAGCGTCTACGGCTGAACTGACGTTGGTAGCGGTGTCCAGACTCCTCACTTCAGATGGGGAAGATCGTCGTGTCCGTGAGCCTTCGCGCAGGCTTCCCTCTTCATCCGGATGACGTAGTCTAGTAGTCACTGTAGCGGTCTTCATAGCAGCCTTCTCCAGAGCGTAGCGACGTTCCATCATTGACATCATCTGGTCTGTAAACTGTTGCATGAACAGTCCGGGTGAAGTTCTGCATTGTCTGAAGAGACTGCTGCATCTGATACTGAAGAAACGTCATCTAAGGCTCGCTGCACTTGTGAAGAGTTGACGCTGCTGCTATCTCTGGTACCCGATGTCTGCGTTGATAGAATGTCTTTTGTCAATGTCTGCACTGATAACAATGCCGATGTAGCTGTAGAAACAGGCCTCGTCTTCTTACTGACGATGGAGACTTCATGGATGGGTGGATCATCATAAACATCTGCTTCTTCCGGAGGAACAATCTCGGCTGAGAAAGACCTCGTCTTCTGCATAGAGCTGAGCATAGACTTCGATGAAGTCTTCATGGTAGTAACCTCACTCTTTTGCGTAGAAGATGATTTAGCCTTCTTCATCTGCGATGAGGTCAGCTCATTAGACGATGATCTCTTATGGCCTCTGGCGTTCACCACTGGTACATCAACCTGCTCCCGAAAAACGTTCGGCAATTCACTGGAATTATGAATGTCTGCAGCAGTGGTTAACACACAGTTATCAGTGCAATCACTCGATTTAGACATGACTTGTGAAAACCTTCGTACCCAGTCCATAGCACGTCTATGAATGGAAAAAGGGTAATTAGTAAATTCAACAGAGGTTAAATTCACACAAAACTTACAGCGAGAGCTGAAAGAACATGAAATAGTGCAATTAGGACATAATAAATGAGGGTCAGTCGCAGACACTCGGTACCTACAACTAATACAGGTTTTCAACAAATGTAAACACGATGAAAACACATGTCAAATAACGGAAAATTAGATCAAATTTCAAACTGTAATGTAGAATATAATCCTAAAAAACGTATACAGCAATATTTTTGATGTAAGGTCCGAAAATATAAAAGGATATGTGCGTATAGGGACCCAGGTGCTCTCACAACCGTCCTCAAGGGCAAAGGAGAGAGTGACAAGGCATGGTCCGTCAGGTGACCAAAAGGGCGCCAAGGGGCAAGGGAGGCAACGCCTGGGTGAGTAGTGATTTTACGTCTGCTTTTTAGAAGGGAACTTCAAGGGATTTCAGTGTTCCACTATCATTCGCAAGGAGAAGGAGACAAGCATAATCAGCATGAGTCAGGATAAGGAAAAATACACGTTTTCAGGCCCTGAAAACTGCTAAGATATGTTCCATTGTCAAGTTTTTCAAAGACTAAAACAGTAGTTCCAAAATCGTTTATGTTCGATTATGAGAAAATGTGATGTGAGAAAATTTGGTCACTGCGACCAATCTTCGATTATTTCGATTAATCGGAACACCACTAGTATACGTTACGATCACTCTCCACTATACCCTGGATGCATCCATGGCTTGGCCCGATGACTTTATTACCTCCCTTGGCTGGCTCCGTATTCTCACAGTAGCCAATCGGCTAAGCCGCCGTTACATCCGAACTTGCCAGTGTCAACAAAGATAGCGGTCACAGTCGCGAAGGTTTGTTCGCAGTGCCACTCAGATTTTTTAGGAAATAATACAGACAAATTGACAGATGTGAAACTTTCAAAAAATATATAAAGAACTCCTTCTACCTCTTTCAGAGTACCTTGCATCAGTTGTGTTGCCAAGCTTAAACGGTTAGATAATTTAAGAAGCTAAAGTGAGTTGTGATTGTTTCCCAGCGTAGACACCTGATTGGATAAAAAGCCAGCCAAGGGAGGTAATAAAATCATCGGGCCAAGCCGTGGATGCATCCAGGGTATAGTGGAGAGTGATCGTAACGTGTACCCTGGAGATTATCGAGGATGCTATATATGGTGCTTAATCAGGTGTCATTCAATAACTAATAAACAGAATGATAAATAAAATTTATATACACGTAGCTGAAGATGATTTCCAAGATGTTTGCAAAATATCAAAATAAAATGACTTCTACTCAATTTATGAAAATTATTCTTGCAACAGTTAATTAACTTGTAGGTCTATGGAAATTTCACTAATGATGACTCACTTATCGCCAACTACTGTACATCACAGATGACTGTATAATCATGATAATGTTCAGTAATGTTTATACGAACTTGTGGGATTATGATCACAGCTGCCAGATGAACAGACTTTGTTGACAAACCATGGGTAAAGTGGGGATGCTGTAATACTAATACAGTCTTGCTTTGAAAGCACACAAACACAGTCAGTCTCCCCAGAAGATAATACCTAACCAAGCTGTAGCAACACAAATTCTATTTGATGAAGTTCATTGTAAGAAATGGGTTCATGAATTATTCATTAACAGAAACAGTGAAGGTTTTCTGTTTCATGTATTTACCTTAAAGAGATAGAAGTACACTTGTTTTGTTTCTGCATCTTCTTCCTTGTGTACACACATAAACAGGTTTTCCACATCCACCACGATACGCAGCAGGCGATTCAGTTCCTCCTCCGCTGTGTTTTCGAGATGTGATACATGGGCACCTATAGCATGTATAGGGTAGTCCAATGAAGACAAACATAACATTACAAGGGTACAATCATATAATTGATGTGATTTCTCAGGGTGAGTTCTTTCTTATACAGCTTTCTGAATAATTTTTAAATTTGATTACAGCATTTCAGTAAATCAAGTATAATTCTGTGTAGAGGATAAACAACTAAACTAAAGACCTCTTCATGTAGTTCATGCATTGTATTTTGGCAACATTCGACATTTTAACGTATCTAAAACTGCAAAAGTTGATTCATGCTTTGAATGGGTTCAGGCTAAAACGGAACCACAGCAAAACGGCACCTGGCGAAAACGGCACCATTTGGACATAACGGAACCTCGACTTGGCGAAAACGGCTACAAATCTTATGGCGAAAACGGCACCAACTAAAATCTTATGGGGAAAACTAGTTTGTTATAAGATAATCGGATTGCAGATAGTAAATACATCTACTATTATGTCGGAACTATCAAAATTTAAGAACAAGGATGTATTTTTATGTTCAAGGATACGATGTGAAAACTACTTTATACGGTAACGGCGCATTGAATAACTCAACTATTAGTGACATTCTGAACTCATTACAACAGTTCATTTCTAAAAGTAACCATTTCCAGTAATTATCAAATCTACGTATATATTCAATGTAAGGCAAGTTTTATATAACTTGATTTTCTGCGGCTGCTCATTTCATTGCTAGGCATAACCAACACTATACCGAACATATTTATTATTCAATCATTTATCTGTTATTTTGTGACAGTATTTTTCTTTTGTTGTGAAATTATTTCAATTATGTATCCAGCTATTGGAACAATGTAATGGAGTTGCGTCTATATAAGCCACTAGGCTTGTTCGCCTATCCAGGTTTCTTTGACGAAATAAAAATGTGTTTAAACCAAATATATCTACTGTGCCGACAGTGATTGGAAATGGGCATCCCAAGTTAGCGTGAAAACATCGCAACCTTTGATGTTTTAAATACATTTACTCAACTGAAATCGCCCAGTGTCAAAATGAAATTTTGAAATTTTAAAACGCACAAATGTACCCATTGTTTACTGTCGCTGAAATACCATAGTTGTGCGTGCGACGTTAAATAAAGCCAATAACAACAACCAATTGTTTGTTAGTTTTTTGGTTTTATGGGGATTTTTTTTCTTTTTTGGGTATACATAACATAATAATTTTTCTGAATATACATAACATATATTATGCAAGCTTAATGATGTTTCATTTTTCATATTTTACCATTTTTATTAGACATTTCCTGAAATTGTGTCACTGCCATTACGAAATTTGTAACATCATTTTGAAAAGAAAAATCCAAAGATAATATTTATTTCATGTACATATATATTAAAATATCTAGTTTTACAATATAACATGGAGTTTTGAAATTGTATATTTATTGCTTATGAAAAAGAAAAAAAAATTCAAATGCCACATCTGTGACATCAGCCACTGGAGTTGTGACACATGAACATTGAGTAAAATTGGGTGGTGTAAAGTAAATATAAAAATATAGTATAAATATGCACGGATTTTGAGAATGACTCATATGTTGATATAATCTTGCTAATGTTATAATGAAATGAAATAAAACATGAGTCAAGGTCATACTTTGTTTTATATATGCAGGGATACTCCACAACAGGGATAGGTCACTCGCTTGCTTTCTTTACCATTTGTACTAATTAACGTGTGCCTCGTCATGCTCCAACGCACACAGTGACTTGGTTCGGTCCCAGCGCAACTCCGGCTGCGTTTAACAGTACTTCAGCCAGTGTATTGTATAGGTCGGAATTTTACAATGAATGAATGAATGAATTAAGAGCAAGAATTTTATGTGAATGAATGAAAGAAATTAAGAAAAAGAACAAAAGAAAAAGAATATATATGTGAATGAATGAAAGAAGAAATGATACACCACGGCCATCCCTCCCCAAACATGTTAAAGAGCGCCAAAACTATCGGTAGAACACATGTTAACATCAGCTGTCCTTTTTCAAAAAAATTACTTTGAGGCATTTTTTTTTTTACATTAGTAACTAATTCAGATATCTTATTGCATGTGTGGAATGACATGGGCATTGACAGAATGTTAACTGACACTGTCACAGACCCCTCAAGAACAGAAAGTTTAGAACTATCACAAAGCCTTGCAAACACCTTTCCAGTTTTGTCAAATACTAAGATCAACAAGAAAGAAAGAAGTTTTAGAACTATAACACTCAAGCATCACAAGCACCAATGGTATCAGAACAGATCGGTGATATGTCATATTTTTCACACACACCTCAAATACACACTAACAAAAAATAATTAAAACTATCACTATTACTTGCAAAACACCTGATGGTATATTCCCCTCATAAAAAATTAAAGGTGTATTTGAAAGATGTTTTTGAACACTAACTAGAAACACTCAAACAACGCCCTGTAGTATTTCAATGGCAGATCGTGATATGTCATATTTTTCACACACCTCAAATACACACTAACAATTTTTTTAAATTATAAAACTATCACTATTACTTGCAGAACACCTTTCACCTGATGGTATATTCCCTCATAAAAATTGAAGGTGTATGTGAAGATGTTTTTGAACACTAACTAGAAACACTCAAACAACGCCCTGTAGTATTTCAATGGCAGATCGGCGATATGTCATATTTTTCACACACCTCAAATACACCCTAACAAAATTTTTTAGTTATAAAAATATCACTATTACTTGCAAACACCTTTTAACTAAAGGTATATTTCCCTTCTAAAAATTAAACGAATATGTGAAAGAAGTTTTTAGCGATATAATTTAGTCTTTCTTCGCTGTGTACTGAGAATTGAAGCCAGTGAGCTACAACATGCCCACTTGAAACTTTACTACAAAGCTACTGTACTTATACTGACACTAATAACAAGTATTTGACTTAAAATGAAGTGACAGAATAGGTAACTTATCTTCTACATGTAGGTTTTCAGTTGTCACAACACTCAGCGTATGTAATCAGCTGTTGAAAATAAACCGGGCTCAATCTTAAAAAACTACGCTGCCGCCATATTGGCTGCACTGGTCACGTGACGAGCCGAGGCATAGCTTAGGAGCTTTCCGAGGAGTGACCACTCCCTCTTATAGAGTCTCCCTGATATATGGTGCCGTTTTAGCCCAGAAATCAGTAGCCGTTTTCGCCAATATGGTGCCGTTTTCGCCACACAATTTGGTGCCGTTCTGCTGTGGTGCCGTTTTAGCTATAACCCCTTTGAATAAACACTTTCCCTCATCTTTTAAATGAGATATACACCCCTCATATGCAGTGTTTATAAAATCCTCTGTGTGTTTTATCTTTCACTTGTGAATGAAAATCCAGATGCCATATGACATACCCAGGGCATGGTTACAGCTGCGACAAGGGTCTGTGAGGCTGGCAAGTGGTTGTGATACATCCACACGAGGAGGCGTTGGAGGAGGATTTGGATTCTTCCAACCATTGCACTTGCAGTTCTCTGACTGAAATGTACCATTAATATGCATTACATTTTCAAAATGTATATAATTTAGAAAGGATAGTATACTTTGACATGTGAATATGTTCTGGGTCGTTTTTATTTCTTCTGATAATTGAACCATGGTTCATCAAATTGTGATGTCCGACCGTAAAAAGTCAGTGATCAAAGTTGTGAAAAAACGGCTTGAGAACATGAAGATATTTGGTAAATTCCTTTGCCAACAACATAATTTGTCATCCTGTATCGGGGCGGTGGGGTAGCCTAGTGGTTAAAGCGTTGGCTCGTCATGCCGGGTTCGAATCCCAACATGGGTACAATTTGTGAAGCCCATTTCTGGTGTCCCCCGCCGTGATGTTGCTGGAATATTGCTTAAAGCGGCGTAAAACCAAATTCAGTCAGTCAGTCAGTCATCCTGTATCACAAACATAATTTACCGATGCGAATTTAACTAATAAATGATCACATTGAAAAATTATAAGAAATAGCTCTTAAACAAAGTCTGAGAACAATACAAGTTCAGCATGTTTAGGCGTAATCTGTCGGTTACTTCCTGTCCATGCTGACATTGTTTACAAACATTGCACTGCCGCAAGAAAGCGCCCTACTTTGCACGATGAATAAACTGCTAATTTCTCGAGTTTTTTGTTGCGTGGGAAACTTTTGACGAGCAATTTCTTCTGAGCAATTCTTTGGAAGTTGTTTGGTCGGCTCATTTCAGCAGTTGTTCCCTGTACTGATGTCTGTTTATGATGAGAACCATCATCATCGAGTGTGCAGTCCTCCGAGGACGCCATTTTGGTGTGTTATTAAGGGGAGCAAACTCTTCCAGGCCTACCCTCTGTCCACAACTACACTGAAACATCATACTCGAGTTATCAGGAGTAGAAGCATAAAGTCGCGATATTCCAGTATTGTCTTGAATGCATTAACCAAAGTTGTCTTCTGCATCGATAATACGAAAAGCCAAGTAACAGAATCTATTCTTGTCTTCAAACTGCACTTGTACACATAATTCTACATATACTTGGTTTCTGAATTTATTTCTTTTTAACGGGGATAAAAAAGAGAGTCTTTATCATCCTAAAATTAGGGACCGTTCATAATTTATGGCTAGGGGGTGGGGAGCGATCATGATGTTTATGGAGAAGCATGTGAATGACCCACCCTAAAATTTACGAACAAAATCAATAAATTACGATCGGTCCCTTATGTACATATGTAGATTGTTCGTGCAGTATTGTCTTATAATGTGTAATTACAAAGTCAACTGAATAATTAATGAATTAATTGATAATGAAAACGACGTAGCAACGTGTTGATGTGGTCAGTAAGTACTCACGTTATCTAAGGACAAGCTCGTGAAATGTCAGACAGATCAACTATAAACATTAGAAACATTCTTTATCTCATTCAGCTCGCTTGGTTATTTCAGTCACCTATACGTCAACGTGTAAGACATTCTTGTGAAGACTAGCTAAAATGTCTTATCTACCAGAACAGAAACCATCAATTTTCCATCTGTACTACTGTGGCAACTAACGGGATCGGGCGGTCGAGTCGCTGACTTGCTTAATACATGTCATCGTATCAGAATTACGCAGACTAATCCTAGTGTTGTCAATCATTGGATTGTCTGGTCCAGACACGATTATCTACTGAAGGTCATCACAAAGCTGGAGTATTGCTAAGTGGGGCGTCAATCAACAAACAAACAAACAAACAAACCCCGAATCCCAACTTGTGACAGATAAACAGATACAATAAGCGCATAACGTGCACTGTTGAACTAATGCTGATCATTGGATTGTCTGGTCCAGACACGATAATTTACAAACCGCCGTGATATAGCTGGACTATTGCCGAGTGGGCGTTAAACAACAACAACAAACAAATGCTGTTCCCCTAATGTTACGTCCACTTTTAATCACACAGAAATATTGCGTCCAGATATATGAAACTGGTTTGGATGTTCCTGTGATTGTAACTGATCAATCATATATTGATGAGTAATGAAATTCACGGTGGTACATCGCTCGAGGCGGGGAGACGAAACGTTTATATGTTCGAAAGAGGAAGTGTTGGTTAAATCTCAGGCGACATGGAAACCACCGCATGGTTAGGTGCGTCATTAGGAGCCATACAGGCTACTGATTAATCTTCGGAGACTTCAAGGTGATCATGCCTCTGGATAACCTGTTACGTGTCTCATGATGTGCCTCGATAGCTATGCATGCTAGCTTATATGTCTCATGTGTCGCTGATAAACGAGTGAGTGAGTTGGGTTTAACGCTGCTTTGTGCGGTATATATCACGGCGGGTCAGCTTACTACTACTACTACTACTACTACTACTACTACTCATTGGCGGATCCAGAAGGGGGGTTCAGGGGTTCGACCCCCCCCCACACACACACACCCCTTTTGAAAATGACTTAAGACCACATTGAAGATTTCTTTTTGCGTTGGCGGACCCCTTGGGAACCCCCTTCACCCCTTCAAACTTCCTGGATCCGCCCATGCTAATACTACTACTTTACGACGGCTACTATTATAACAACAATAGTAATAATTATAATAAAGTGTACACATATATTTTTATAACTGAGTCCTAGAATGCGTTGGCCTAATTGTATCTTCTAGTGTTTTGATTTTGATTAAATCTTAACAATCATACACAGTAAAAAAACTTCAGTTACGTGACTGATGCCGACTCTTTTGTTCAACTGCATTATATATATATGCTAGGGCTTGTCTGTGATATACCCGAAGGGTATAAGTACAAACAGCAATTTGCCATTTTCAAAACAGCTCTATTGACCCTCCCTGTTTAACATATAATAGAAAGTTCATAACAAAATGCATCAAGTCTGAGCCGAACCTCGCGGTGGAATGGAAATAAGGAAAACAATTGGTATTTGATTATTACGTGTGGTCTCATCAAAACAAGTGCTTCAGTTTTCTGATTATCACAAGTTCAGAACCTACATCTATCATACGTGTTATATCGCCCCATCATAACTAGCCACTGAGAAAAAACGTCATATCGTTCACAGCGTGAACCCCGGAGGTCAAGAAATCACGTGACAAAGAACACTATATCACATGACCGAACATGCTTTGGTGATGAAAATGGCGACGATACGCGGCGAAGTTCTGCTGTCAAGCGAGTTTGGACTTTACCCAAAGAAACGAAATGTGTACAAAGTCTCGCTTAGTCGGACCGGACTTTTCTACAGCCTTCAAACGGACAAAGAAGGTGCAAGTGAAATACAAGTCGTTCATTTGAGCGATGTAATCGGCTGTCGGTGCCAGAGATCGGTTGGATGTGCATCGGCTTTCATAACTATCTTCTCCTACCCGTTCAAACAGAAAGTGTTCAGTTCCAAATCTACGCGGAAGAGAGTACTTGTCATCTTCGAGGTGAAAATATTCTCCTCCTTCGATGACAATCTCAAACTCGCAGAAAAATGGCGGAATGTCATCAACTGTTTGTCACGGAGCCTCCCATTGAATGTCGAAGGTAAGCTTTCCAATGTCAGTATTAGGGGAAGCTGTATTAGGTCTGTTGGCAGAATGTTCTACACTATGGTTGAGGATAAACTACAGTGTTAGTCAAATATTACCCATATAAAGATCGCATAAACAACACACTGTCAACTTATATTCAAGATGTGACCCGGTAATATTTATGTCAAGGTATTTTTTTATATAGCAGAAGTCAAAATTATTAATCAATATTAGTGGTTCAATAAAGTGAATGATATCTAATGTTATGCCATCAATTTTAGAGGCATGTAGTGCACATTGCTGTTTCAATCATTTACAGAAGGAAGAATTCTGTTGACTGTAATAACTGGTAATATCCTAATGCAATCAAAGATATTTTGACAGGTGTGGTTAGGGGTGAAGTTGCGAGTGTGATAGTGGTGATTGTCATCAAGAATAATGACAATCATTAATTGTCAACATGCTTGTAAAGCAAATCCTTAAAACTTATTTTTCCATATTTCCATGGATTTGAACATATTGATTCAAATTTTGCAAGCATAAATATAGTTTTCATATTATTGGATGTAAAATGGATCTAATATCAAGACAATTAATCATTTAAGAGAAGATATGAAGAGCATATACTAGTATCATTATTTGGACACAGATGAAGGATACTTGTTCTTCACTTCTAAAACAGCATTCAGTAGAAAGAATATCCTTTTGTACAATACTTAAAAACTTTGCTAAGTTTGTATATGCCCAGTGCAATACATTCAATTCTAAATTTAACCAATGCCTACTTATAGTTACGAACAATATAGTTGAACTGGTATGCTGTATGCACAAAGAGTGTGCCTTCATGCAATACTTCCCAGTCCTTTTTTTAAACTGTCATTTATGTTTATCAACCCTGTATGTAGTAGAGAGTTCTGAAGATTGGATTGAGCAATATGTATTTCTTTGTTTGAGCAGTTCACCAGAGCATGTATGGACAAGATTAAAGATTGGTCCCACAATATAGACTATCACCCACCATTAGTATGATTAGGTCTGAGTATCATGGTGTATTGACCTGGATCTTGTATAGCAATATTTTATCATACTTTAACCTGTGTTACAAGACATTGTGCAATATATTGCCAATGTACATTTCCATGAGTTTATCAGAATTATGCCATGCATTAATGCCAGATACTGTCAATCAGTACCCTCACTACTTTTCCTCGTCATTCAGGAGGTGTATGATTTAGAGATGAAAACATCAATACAAACAAGACATTTTCCTGACTTCATCCTTTCTATTTGTCAATCACTGGATTGTCTGGTCCAGACTCGATTATTTACAGACTGCTGCCATATGGCTTGAATACTGCTGAGTACGGTGTTAAATAACAGCAAACAAACGTTTCTATTTTAGTTTCCAAGGAGTCAAAATATACTTATTTGTGTTTACCCCAATGCATTGCTAAATTTACAAACATATTGCAATCCGTATTGCTGAAGATTTGCACCACAACATTCCACTATACCACTAATTCTACATGCACTTACTCACAATATTTACCCAGGACCCAATGTGTGTGTAAACATCATAAATCGTGTTTGCTTATTGCTATTTGTATGCACATTGTAGTAGGGCTTGGCAGCAGGGTTTCAGGATGAATTAAACCATTAACATGATGATGTTGTGCTGTTGTTCCTGCAGTTGATTCTCATTCTGATTCATGAGCCATTCTGAACATGCATTTATACAAGTAAAACTGTCACAGGTAAAATTCATTACATGAAATTATAGAAAAATTGTTTTCAGCCATATCATGGTCAAAGTCACTGAAATCATTCAAATCTGTTGATTCCAGATTGACGGTACTAATAAGTACTATAGAATCAGGGATGGGTGGCCCAGTTGTCTAAAGTGCCAGACATTGCTGTGCACAGTGTGTATTTGTCATGGACACACCGTAAAACTTTAATGCTGAGTTCGAATCCTGGTTTGCCCCAATTAAGGTTTTGGGTACATATGTATGGGTGCTTCCAAAGTGGAAAATGTCTAAGATCTGCATCATTTAAGCTTTCCTGCCTCATCAAGCTGACATGCTGTTGTATAAACCAACTCACTCACTCACTCACTCACTCACTCCTCACTCACTCACTCACTCACTCACTCACTCACTCACTCACTCACTCTCACTCACTCACTCACTCACTCACTCACTCACTCACTCACTCACTCACTCACTCACTCACTCACTCACTCACTCACTCACTCACTCACTCGTTACTGATGTATATTTACTTAAGAATAACTCTACTGCAGTTAATAATACTGAATGTTACTTTAATACTGTAACCTAAAATACATTTATATGTATGATGGTACACGCTCTAGGCAGATACAACAGACATAAGTCACCAACAAAATGGTTTAGCAGAAAATATCTAAAAAAAATGTCTTTTCCCTGATTTAAACATTCCAAATAGAAAACTGAAAGAGCAAAGTGACATGTCAAATAGCTGAATAAAATAATAAAAACTGACCCATCCTACAGACAGTTAATCTGATGGGTTATCATACCTGCAGCTGTGAACGTTTACACGTCCATAAATGTAACCTTTTATGTGAAATTTTATCTCAGCTTCTTATGTCCAAAATGATGTCATGAACATTCTCTGACCACATCAAGAATCCAGATACTGCCATTATCTCTAAGTGCAGCCATTAGACTCTTTCATGCTTGTGAAATCTCTCATAAAAACTGAAATTTCCCAGCTTGATGTTTTGAAGTTTTGATAGTTTGTCATGCACAGCCTGAAGAAGAACAAATAAAAACAAATTGTTTGCAAAAACATTTCTTATTACGGGGTATACCTCAACACAGAGTCTGATGTTGTAGTCAGTTGTCTGAAGTCTCTGTCTGTAGTCTCTGTCACAGTCCCTAACAGCATTATTTTACCTTCTGCCTATAAAGGAAAGGGGCGTTGGGGTAGCCTAGTGGTTAAAGCGTTGGCTCGTCATGCCGAAGACCCGGGTTCGAATCCCCACATGGGCACAATGTGTGAAGTCCATTTCTGGTGTCTCCCGCTGCGATGTTGCTGGAATATTGCTTAAAGCGGCGTAAAACCAAACTCAGTCAGTCAGTGAGTATAAAGGAAAACCTGTGAAGATCCGGTTAGAATTGGTCTACAGCAGTCCATACTAACAGGATCAAGTTTTCAGGTTCACTGACATGGTGGTCACTTGTCATCCTAACCCAATTGTGTAAATCGATGCTCATGATGCTGATCACGGGGTTGTCTGGTCCAGATGATTATTCACAGACTGAGGCCATATAACTGGAATACTGCTGATTGCAGCGTTAAACAACAAACCAACCAACCCTAAATGAAGCAAGTCTAGATTTCTTCAGGTTCAGAACCTTCCTTCATACGGGGTCTCGTTTTCAATTTATAAGGAAGCTTTAGTCTATCTCTGTCTGTTGCAGTATCTCATAAGCTCAGCTCTCAACAGGGCCCCCAAAGAAAACGAGCAGAGTGTAACCAAACTACTGAATGTGTTCAAACTTTAAAAGCCACAGCCTCACAAATTACAAACAAGACACAATCCTTATGGATGGATAAAGTTTAAATTTTGATAATTTAAACCAGCAACATCGTTAAGGGAGACTTTAACAAATGAAGTATGTGCACACTCAAGTTTTTGCCGTCTGCATGATTTACTGTGGCTTGAAAATTGTCATCACCAGGGTTTTGATCATTACCTTGCATATTTACCTCAGGTTTGTGTTGGGTTTGTAATATGGGTGTCATTTTCTGCTTGAAGTGTGAACAGATTTCATAGTTTGGTTGCTTTCTGATGCTTTTCTTTGATGGGCATGTGACCATATTCCACATTCACACAGAAATCTCTGAAAATGACCCCAGTCTGTGATATTACTATTGTTAGACACAAGTCTGCTGCCAAGTTTGAGAATAGTCCTGTTCGATCCAATGGCTGAGTCCATATAACACTAAAATTTGTTGAAAATGTGTTGGCAAAGACCGTAATCTAATATACAAGGTTGGTCTAGTTGAATCTCTTTATCTTTTTGACACAACTTTATTCATGATGTGTTTCGTAGACTTTGTGCATGTGTACACATTGATACCTTTGAACATTATTGTCCATTACCACAGATCTGTATGTGCAATAATGGTCTCTTGGTTTGATGAAAATGAAATGTAAAAAAATCAAAGTCAAGTGGGAAAGTCAAGCTTGCACATACTGGTGTCTCCTTTGTTATTTGAGATAAACTATACTCAAACAGACCTGTGAAGATCCGGGTTAGAATTGGTCTTCAGCAACCAATGGTTGTCATAAAACAGGTGGTCAGGCTCGCTGACTTGAATAACACATGTCATCGTATCCCAATTGCGTAGATCGATGTTCATGATGTTGATGACTGGATTGTCTGGTCCAGACTCGATTATTGACAGAACGCTACCATATAGCAGGATTACTGCAGAGTGCAGCACAATCAACAAACGAACAGACGGTACTCAAACACTTCAACACCAGCATGAGATGAACTGACACAGATAATGTGATGACTTTGGCCAGGCCAGTTTAATTGCATGTGTATGGTTCGTTTTACCCAACTGGTATATTTTCCAAAAGTGAAAAAATATCACAAAGGCACCATGCACTAAGTATTTTCCATGTAATCCATCCATGTTAACATAAAGGCAGTATGGCATCAAAGTCACATAGGATCAATGCTGTGGTAACAGATACTGTTGTAAAGTTGTCATACCTGGATGCACAGAGTGTAATACGAGATGTATTAAATGTTGTTTCACCATGCGGTCAGTGAAAACAGGTATATGAGGAAGTTGGAACTTTTATCTAGGATTCTAAACTATGTGCCCTTGGTATATTTTTGGTCAAAAGTATATTTTTACTGTCCTGAATTCTTGTATTTTAAAATTGCATTTAATGCAATATTTAAACATGAGCATTAAAGCGTTTGTCTCTTTATTGACCCTCTGATC